TTTCTCAATTCTCCCAAGGATGGTGCATAACTAGTACTGCTCTAACCCATTGCCATCGAGTTGATTTCGACTCACAGCGACCCCATAGGGCAGAGTAGAACTGCCCCATAGGGTGTCCAAGCAGCAGCTGGTGGATTCAAACTGCCAACCCTTTGGTGAGCAGCCGTAGCTCTTAACCACTATGCCACCAGGGTTTCCAGTACCACTCTAGGAAATATTAATTCATTACATATTATGGGTGCGTTAGGGTGTTTGGGTTTAATTCTCTTGTAGAACGCCATCTGTAAACAAGTATAATAATGATGCCTCCCTCATAGCATTGTGATAAAGGTTAAATGAGTTACATAATTAAAACTCTTAGAACAGTGCCTTAAAAAAAACCCAAACCAAACCCATTGCCATCAACTCGACTGTGACTCATAGCAACTCTATAGGACAGAGTAGAACTGCCCCATAAACTTTCCAAGGGTGAAATCTTTACGGAAGCAGATTGCCACATCTTTCTCCCGTTGAGTGGCTGGGGGGTTCGAACCGCCAACTTTTTGGTTAGCAGCTGAGCGCTTAACCACTGCACCACCAGGCTCCTATGAACAGTGCCTAGCTCTTAGTAAATGTCCCACAAAGGTACTTGTCATCATCATCTCCATGGCTGCTGTAGTAGAGAATGCTCGTTGTTCCCCAGTATCCTCTCTTCCTTTAGTCATCAGAACCATCCCCAATTGATGTCCATGTTAGACAACATTGCCCAGGTAGGGATTACATTTCCCAGCATCCCTTGAATCTAGGGGTGTCTGTGTGCCCAGTGGGGTGTGAGAAGAAGTGTCGCATGTAAATTCTGCATCACATCCTTACAGAGGAAGCTGCTCGCCCTCTACCTTCTCTTTGCTCTCTTTGTGATGGTTGAGAAACGGTGGTGTCAAAAAATAATTGAAGCAAAGAGAAATGGAAGCATATACGGCTTTATTCCAGCAGTTAATCTGTATGCATACAGGAAAACCCTCCTGTTCAGGGAAACAGAAAGTTCCATTTTGGAGTAAATACAAAATGCCTAACTTTATGTTCTGTTGTACACAGGGTCGCTATGAGTCAGAACCGACTCAACGGCACCTTACAACAATGACAACTTTAACACGATTCAGTCTTGCTTTCTTTCCTTCCTGAGATTGTTAGGTGGACTTTGTGACCTGGCTGAGATATCTTGATGACGCAACAAACGCCAAAGAATTAGAATTGTCTTCTCAGAAAACAAGGGCAAAGACTAATTTACTTTTTGGTGACATTAAATCCTTTGCACAAAGTAAACTTCAAAAGCATTCATGGTTAACAGATATTTTGTCACAGATGGGGGTCTGTGACTCCATTATCACTATGTCTTCACCCTGTCTCCTTGTTTATCTATTTCTGGGTGCACTCCACAGTGGTCAGATACCTTTGTGAAATTTCCCAGGTACTCAGAGGAATCCACCAGTTTGGGGCCTCAGTTTCCTTTTTTATTAACAGTGGTAACTGGAGCAGCCGCCTTGGAATCAGAGATGGAAATCATATGTTGAGGATGGCAGAGCTACCCAACCGATCTGGATTATTCACTTCTTGATTCTTTTGTGAGACAGAAATAAGATTCCATCTTATTCCACTGTATTCTGGGGTCTTCTGTTACTGCAGCTTACTCTTACCTAACTAATCAAGCACAAAGCATAAAGTTGGGATTGAGAGATGTGACTTTGTCCCTTCTTTCCTTTTCCCTTTGTGCCCACCATGTGCCCAGCACCGTGCAAGGAACCGATGTCCCCAAACGGCCAGGATACAGACCAAACCCGGAGCTCAAAGTGTAATGAGACGGAGGATCTAAAAGTGAATCATTCCAACCTTCTGGGAAAAATGCTCCAATAAGCATGTGAGGCAAGGAGGAGGGAGCAATTACCTCAAGTCCTACAAGGCATGGAAGAGTTTATCAGGCTGGACCGGGAGGGGTGGTAGCTGGAGGCTTTCCATGGAGAAGCAGCAGAATGCGAGAGGTCAGGGGATGGGGAAAACATGGACATTTGGGGAAAACAAGCTCTAGGTCCACCTTGACCATCCACTTGCTATATGGTATCTTGGACTCTCACTTTAACATCCTGAGCCTCAGTTTCCAAATGTGCAAAGTAGGATCAAAAATCCCACTCTGACTTAGGCCCTGGGGTACTGCAAGCGCTCAGTGAAGGGACTGTTGGAAAGCGCTATAAAGCATGATGGAAATCCTAGTTACTGGCATTGTCTCTTTTAAAGGCTATTTTGGGCTTTTTGGCTGGCTGGCTACGCCTGGTTTCGTGACGGGCCCCTGGTGAGCTGGTGATCCTGGGAGGGTGACAGGGGCTCTGAAACTTCCCATTAAGGAGCCCTCTCAGCTTGCAAAAAGTGGTTTAACTTTCTGCATGGCAGTTGGGCAACATTTATGAAGTGCCTTAAAAATAACCATTTCTATGACCTAGGAATCCATCTACTATTTAAGGAAATAATTAGAAATGCAACAGAGGTTTGTGTACTAGATTGCTCTTTATAATAGCAAATAAATGAATAAATGTAATGAAGGGAAACGGCTACTTATTAATTAAATAAATTGTGGAACACAGTAAGTTGTGGTGGGCCACCGTACTATGAACTGGGTAAATGTTCAGGAGGTGATGTCAGGGGAGGAAGCATGTTCCAACACTGTGCGTATTCAGGATGACCCCACGTGGTAGATCCACTCTTTGGGCCTGGGGCATGTATTCCCTCAGCTGCCAGGAGAGACAGTTCTCAGCTGAAATCCCTCTGGGAATTGCCCTCTCCTTCAAGGAGCTGCCTCAACAAAGACTCGAAGAATATACACTAAAATAATCAATGTTTATCTCTGAGTGGTGGGAGCACAAGTGATTTTTCCACGTATTTTTGTGCAATTTTCCAAGTTTTTTTCATATGGAATGTGTGTTACTGTTCAGCTACATTCTGCAGGTCCCTTTCATACCATCTCCTTGCAATTCCTTGAGCACGCAGGCACACTCCTGCAGGGCATTTGCACATGCTGTTCTCTCAGCCTGGAGCCCTCTTCCACTAGACACTTGCTGGCTCACCCCATCCCCACTTCAGGTCTTTGCTCAAGTGTCACCTTCCCGGGAGGCCTCCTCAACCACTCAAATTAAAATATAACCTCATCCCTACCCCAGCACACCCATCCCTCCTCCCTGCTATAGTTATGTGCATTGCACTTATCACCTCATGATACACTAGGCTTTTCACTTCTTTCCTTATTATCTGTCTTCACCTTCTAGACTATAAATGCCATGAGGTCTTTGTCTATGCTGTTTACTGCTGGGTCCTCAGCACATAGAACAGCTGAGTGCTTCTCTGAGGTGTTCTCAGTACATAGTAGGTGCTCTAAGCATATTGTAAGTGCTTAACAAATGATTGTTGACTGACTGAATGCATGCATGAATGCAGCCATTTCTAAGCTTCTGCCAGGTTCTCATTTTGGGGCAGGAGTGGGCACAGGCATGGGGCTGTCGTTGTTGGGTGCTGCTGAGTCAATTTCGAGTCATAATGACCCTATAGGACAGAGCAGAACTGTCCCATGGAGTTTTCTAGGCTGTAATCTTTATGGGAGCAGATTGCCAGGTCTTTTCTCCTGAAGAGCCACTGGGTGAGTTCTAACCTCCAACCTTTTGGTTAGCAGTCCAGCGTGTAACCATTGTGCCACCAGGCAGGAAGTAGGAAATAACAGCAGCAGATGGGGGACCAGGAAGAAAGAAAGGCTCTGGATGAAGTCAGCAATGCCAAATCGGTGCCCGGATATCAGGTCTACTGTAACACTGGGGTCAGGTGGGGAAGGATTTCAAATATGCTCCCGCACCCCCTCAGAGCAACAACGTGGCCTGAGCATCAGGCAGCCCCAGAGTAAAGGGGAACAAACCCAGAAACAGACCCTCACACAAAACACCCAGGATCTGAGAACACGCAGAAGAGGTGAGAGCTGTCCTCACATACACATGGGTTGCCAGCGGCAAGAAGGTGATCCTTAAGGACTGAACTAGGGCTATGAGTAGAAGTTACAAGGACTCCTATTTTGGCTTGATATTAAGAACTGTCCCCTACTCCTCCCGCTTGCCCAGGAGAGCTGTCCAACAATGGCTTGGGCATCTCGTGAAGCAGTTCGCTGTCACCGTGATGAGCACGCAGAGTCCAGGGTCCACTCATTCATCGGGCTGAACTTGCAACCAGTACATTCAACAGTTACCCATTGCGCTTACTCTGCTAGGCGTGAAGCTCAGCACTGTGTATACAGTGGCGACTAAACAGTATTCAAATAAATAAATACATGTATATACAATTACGATTTGTGAAGGCACAAAACTGGGTTGTCCCAGAAGGAAGCCTCACTTAGACACGGCGTCGGGAGGTCTCTCTTGGCAGAAGATATTTGAGGAGGCCCCTCAATGGCGAGAGGGGCTCCCAGCCTGTGAGATCCGGGGAAGCGCGACGGGGCAGAGGGAACCGCACGAGCGGCGCGCGAGTCCACCTCTCAGTGCACACCGGAGAAACACAGGCCCAACGAGGGGGAATGCCTTGCTCACGGACACTCGGTGGGCCGCCCGCGCCACCTCCAGGAAGCCAGACGCCCACCTCCCACCCCGCCCCAGACACTATGAGGGGCGGGGTCCAGAAGCAGCGGAAAGTAAAGCTGGGGCTGGAGAGGGCGACTACCAGACAACAGGGGGGTGGGGAAACGGGGGCAGAGGGGCGGCCCCGCTGACGTCATTTCCGGGGTCGAGGGTATATAAACGGGGCGCGAGGGCGCTGCTGCTGCAGTGCCCAAGCCCGGTGCAGAGAGTCTGGTGGACCGGCCGACAGACGGACACACGTCGAGACGCTGCGCCCCCGTCCCTGCACCAGCGCCGCCGCAGCCCGCCCCGGCCCCCAGTGCAGCCGTCCCCGCCCGGGAGCCCAGCCCCAGACCGCCAGCTGCTGGCCGCGCCGTGTTCGCCATGCGCTCCGCCGCTGTCCTGGCGCTTCTGCTCTGCGCCGGCCAAGGTGAGCGAGCGCGGGGGGCTTAGGGAGAAGGGACTGGGGCGCCCCTGCCTGCCACTGCCTTCCCTGCCGGGCCTGAGGTGCAGGGCACCGCGCAGCGCCGCGCACCCCTCTATACCTCCCCTAGGCGCGCCGAGCGTTCAGCACCGCGGACAGCGCTTTCGTCTCCCGTCTGGCCAGGGGATGTGGCCTCAGTCCGGGACCGTAGGCCTGACTCCTGGAGCCCGACCCCGACCCCGACCCCGGGGGGCAAGGTCCCCTCGCTCTCCCACCCGCTGTCTGGGCTCAGCGCTTCGCTGCATTAGGCCGGCGCCAGCTCCGCGCCGTCCGTGGCCGGCCAAGGTCATTGGGGGGAGATGGGAGGGCCGCTGCTTTCGCCCCCTCTGCCTTCTCGCCCTCTTCCAGCCTCCCCCTCCCGTCTCCTACCCTCATTTTCTACCTTTTCGTATCAGTCTCTCACAATCCCTCCTCCTCCATCTCTTCCCCGATCTCTGGGTCTCTCCCAGTCGCCCTGCACCGTCTCCCCACCCCAGCTTTGTTTTCATAGCCCTTGCCTTCGGCTCCCACACCCCCTCCAAAGCAGAAGGCTTCCCAAAGGGAAGGGGTAGGGCTTCTCAGTACAGCCTCTGTGGGCCACCCACCCTGGGGACAGCAGTCGGGGAATGGAAACAAAATCAACTTCAGCCCCTCATTCGGGTAGGGGCGGCTTTGAGACGGGGCATGGGGTGCAGGGACCCCCGATGACTGGCCAGGAACGACTGGCTCCCCACCGAGCAGAGGAGTAACCCCAGCTCTCTCTTTCCCTTCCCAGCCATTGCCCTCCCTGTGAACAGCCCGATGAATAAAGGGGACACTGAGGTAAGATGAGGTGCTGAGGATGCCCCAGGATGGGGCATGGGAGGCACCAGTGTGTGTCTTGTAGCCAGTTCTTGGGCAGCTGCAGGAGTGGGGCTGGCATAAAGCCAGGAGCCAACACTGCGGCTGCCGAGCCTGGGGACAGCTTGCAAAAGAAGGTATCAAAGATTGCTAGACTTCCCTCCTATCCTGCTGCGAGGACTTCCCCAGCTTCCTCTGAGCTGAGTGTGTGGCCCAGTGGGGTTTGTGTCTTACCTGCTGGTCTGAACTGCTAGGTCCACTGCGTTCAATACTCGGAATTCACTAGGCCCACCTTGGGGCTGGTGGGGGTCGCTTCTCTGTCCTGTGGTGTCCACAGAGCTGTGAGAAATGCCTTCAAGTACCTTGCCCTGGCCTCCCTCTTTGCTCTTCCCTTTCCCTCAAGGCTTTGCTGCTAGCAACGCCCTCCCATTCCACAGACGCTCAAGCCCTGGCTCCTCCAAAGGGCTACAGTGAGAACATTCTTGATAATGGCTCCTGCACCCTGGGGTCCCAGACAGTTAGGCTGATGGTGGAGGTCACTAGGCAAGGGCCTTCTGAGGCACTAGCAGGGGGTTCTCTGGCCAGGAGGAAACACCTTGCTGGGTATATACTTGGAATTCATTCCTGTCTGAGCTGAGGCACTTTCCCGTCTCTCGTACTCAAGACACCCCCACCTGAGGCTCAGGGAAACCTCCATCCCCCGCCCTTCCGGGAGCTGTTTTCTTCCATTTCATAGAGACCACGGTTAAAACCCAAAGTATCAAAGATATTCCAACTTAACTATATCTTCTACTTTCTAGTTGCAGACAGACCTGAATTTAAAACTCTACCACTCATTCTAGCTATGCAGACTTGGGAAATTTCCTTAACTTCTCTGAGCTTCCACTTTTTCCAGCTGTAGTAATATTTCCCTTGAGGAGACTTGTGAGGAGTAGGAAGTGAAGTGCCTGGCACACTGTAGGTCCTGAGTAAATAGGCACTGTTATTTCTAGAGATTTCCTTCTTGATCTCTCCATCTACCTCGGGATGTACACACAATTCTTCTCGTGGAATCTGCCTTCATGAACCGGTGGTTATCTGATGTTCCCAGTGCAGGGTCTGGGGCTGCAGGACTCAGCTTGCCAGCTCCCTTCAGGGAGACCCTGTGGTCGCTGTATTTTGTCCAGCAGTCTGGGGTCAGGGGCACAGAGCAACTGGTTAAGACCTGAATGTTCCATCTGAGGATGTGACTGAACACACCATACAGCCTGTTTGCCAGTTTGCCATCCTGGATCCTTGGACTGGTTGCCTTGGCACCCCGTAGACAGCCTGCCACCCCCTCACTCCCCGCCAGTGCTGCCTGATGCGTGTCTGACACCTCCCGCTCCTCCGCTGGCTCTAGGCAGCCAAAGCGGGTCTGGAGTTGTGAATCCCTCCCCGAGTGTGTGCAATGCTTCATCCTTCATAGCACGCTGACCCATCTGTGCCTCATCACGCTGGGAGGGCAGTCGGGCGGAGATTCTCATTCCCATTTGACAGATGAGGAAACTGACGCTCAGCAGCTTAAGTCACTTGCCCAAGATCATACAGCTTGGATACCACACTATAGTTGGTACCATTATCAAAGATCACACATTTACTAGGTGACTAACTGTCCACAGCACCTTGTTGGGAACCGCACAAGACTTTCAGAGACATGACTGCTGTTTGCCTAGGGCGGGCACCCAGATGTAGATGATGTGTGCCTCACACCCAGCCAGGGGACTCATTCCATGGGTAAATACGGAGCCAGACTGTGAGGCTGGCACTCACTGCACATGACAGCACTGTGGGTGTTGGGAGCCAGGAACCTAAGTCCTGTTTCCAGACAGGGCAGAGCCAGAGAAGGTCTTTGTTCCCATCTTGCCAGTCCAGAAGGGCTTCCTGGGGGAGCTGGTGTTTGAGCATCTGCAAGACTAAAACAGTTTTGCAAGACATCCCTCTAATACCTAAGGGTTGCTTCCCTATCTTTAGACAAACATTGCTTGGGAAGGAGAAGATACCAGGTCCCCACCCTCCATCCCACCTCCACCATGATCAGCCCTAAAGGCCGCCTGCTGGCCTTGCTATTGGAGTGCCTGGCACCTGGTATGCACCGTCTGAGGATTTGCTGTTATTGCTGCTAGTATTGTCTGGCTAAGGATGCAGAGCTGTGCCCCTGAGGCAGGCATCCGTGGACTCCTGAAGACAAGAGCTGATGTCCTGTTCTCCTTATAAATCTGGCCCAGGGCCTTTGGAGGCTGGGACCAATGTCCAAACCAGTCCCAGCTTACCCTCTACTCTCTTCCCAGGTGATGAAGTGCATCGTTGAGGCCATCTCTGACACGCTTTCCAAGCCCAGCCCCATGCCTGTCAGTCAGGAGTGTTTTGAGACCCTCCGAGGAGGTATGGGCCACAGGTTGGGGGTGAAGGCTGCTGCCTGCTGGGCTGGGAGGCTAGGAGAAGGGTGTGTGGCTTTTGATGGAATTCGGTGATTTAATTCATTAGTCACTGACGAAGTGCCTGCTTTGGCCAGGCACCATTTTAGGGTCTGAGGGGGTCCAGGGAGATAAAGGGGCCACAGCCCCTGGGCTCTTGGAGCTTACAGGCCTGCAGAGGGGACAGATACAATGAACAGAAGTAAGTCGAATTCTGGACAGGATGAAACCAGGGCAGGAACAGCAAGCCCACCAGAATGTGAGCTTCCTGCATACAAGGGTTGTTTATGTGCTATATCCCCAGTGCCTAGAACAGCCTCCAGCACCTGGTGGACACCCTGTAGATAAGCAATGAATAAATGAACATTGTTGGGGGGCACGAGAAGGACAGCATTTTTTTCCAGCCAAGCCTCTGCATAGGTGGAGCCAGTGGCATTTGGGCTGGGCTTTAAAAGAATACTTGGAAATCCATAAGGAAGGCTGCTCCAGGTGGCAGGGACAGCATGAGCGAAGGCACGGAGGTGGGAAAGTGTGTTGGGCTTAAAGACACCACCTCATCCTCACGGGCTGAGGCCTGGGTGTTGGGACAGTGGAAAGCCGACACCTTAGAGGGAAGGTGGTTTCAAAAGTGTTATCTCAAGATCAATCTGGCTGCTGCCACCCTGGTTTTGAGTTTCCAGAAGAAATTTCTTGTGCTCAGCTGAAAATATTGATGGTAATCTCTTTCTGGGCTGTTCTCTGGAAACCACCCCTAACAACTCTCTTCATTGCAGATGAACGGATCCTTTCTATCCTGCGACACCAGAATTTACTGAAGGAGCTCCAGGACCTCGCTCTCCAAGGTATTTTCCAGCCAATGCACACAATTCTGAGGGTGGAGCTTCTGTCTCTTTCTGATCTCAGTTACTTCCTTTCAATTATGAAACAGAAAGGTGGCGGGCCTCCATGCCACTTGATCCAATTTGTTATTGATACAGAGATCAAGGCCCAGAGAGGTGAAGTGACTTGTCCAAGGTCACACAGTGAGTTAGTTAGAGACATGCCAAGACCAGATGCAGCTTTCCTAATATCCTACAGACTCTGTAGTTTCAGCCATATCAATGGGGCACTTTCAAGACTGGACGGCAGAAAGAATCTCCTGCTCCTTGTTGACTGAAAACAAAATTGATCTCTGGGAGAGAGGAGGGGACCCGGTTTCCTTGTGAGCTTCATCTGCTCAAGTGGGAGTTGTGGGAGGCAGGGTCTTGGTTGCCCATATCCAAGCCAGACTTTCTAGTTTCCAACAAACTAGTAAAACCCACTGATGGCTATCAAAAATGGAGGGACTGCGTGAGGTAGTAAGCACCTCGTCACTGAGGATATTCAAGCAGAGCCTGAACAGGATGCTGGAAGGGAGGGTTAGGCTGACATCACTGCACACACTGAGCCACTCTGCTCAGCACCAGACTCATTTCTGGGTGGTATAAGGCACAGAGCCCTGCCCTGGAAGCTGGGAAGCCTGGGTTCTGGCCCTGCATCGGCTCCTGAATGCCTTCCAGTGAAAAGTACCATTTATCTAGGGGCAGAGCCATTGCACCCTGTGCCCCTCCCTGAGAATGAGCCCTCAAGCATGAATCCACATCTGCTTTCAAACCAAATCAGGGCTGGGCTGTGTCTGGGTGGAGTTGGGTCGTGAAGGCTGCTCTGGGCCCGGAGGCCCATTCTCTGAGGCCTTTGGGGCAGCCCATGCCAAGTGTGAGAATGGAGAGACTTGGGAGGAGGTAAGTACCAGTCATCACAGCAGCAGGGACCCCCGGGGCCCTCCCCGAGTTCACATGCTATCCTTTCTCTCACTCACCAGTCAGCCTGGGAGGCCAACGTCCACCTCCTGCACTTGTTGGGAGGATGGAATGGGCGCCCGGCCCACAGTAGGTGCTGGGCGGAGCTGTGGTTTTTATGACTCATATTATTACTGCATCATCATCACCCCTGGTGTTGCTGTTTTTACTAAACATTAAATATTTTATTGTAGTCTAGTTATTTTAAAATTAAACGACTAACTTATTACATTTAAATAATTAAACGTAATGTCAGCAGAGACTCTTACAAGGAATGTGTCCTGAAACATCTTCGGCACACGCACAGCCGTGCGCATCCAGCGTAAACAATGCACAGTACAAACGAGCTGCTGTGGGGCAGTCGACTCTGACTCACGGCAATGCCATGGGGGGCAGAGCAGAACTGTGTTCCACAGGGTTTTCAATGGCTGGGTTTTTTTTTTCAGTAAATTGCCAGGCCTTTCTTCTGAGGTGCCTCTGGGTGGACTCAAACCTCCAACCTTTTGGTTAGCAGCTGTGCATGTTAACCATTTGCCCCACCCAGCGACTCCATATATAATATACATATATATGATTGTTTTCTGTTAAAAGAGCATGTCTGTCCATCCATCTGTCCACCATCTGCTCCCTTTCTGGACTCCCATAATGCCCTCTGCACACCTCCATCTTTGCACTTACCACGCAGCAACGCAGCACTCCCCTGTTCTGTAGAGGAGCGCCCACATCCTGGAGTGTCCCAGCTGTCCGGGGTCACCTCACCCAGGCCCGCCTGGCTCATGGCCATCTGTCAGGCTCCGCTGGCCACCCCGGGGGAAAATCCTCGCCAGCCGCAGAGCTGGCCTGGCCGAGGGGCCATCATCAGGCATGGGACACAGGGGTGGGGACAGCCAGAGGAGGCCACAGCAGCCGCGGGGTGGGTGCAGGCAGAGGGGACTCTGGGTCCTGGCAGCAGGTGCCAATCCTGCGCTTGAATGCAGCTGCAGTGCTTGGCCTTCTCCCCCGGGGCCTGGACTCATGGGGTCCGGGAAGCAGGGGTGGCTGGGGTCAAGAGCCCCCATGAGGGGACAAGCAGTCACCGTGACCTTCTGCTGCAGAGTCCAGAGTCCCTGAAGCTACCAGCCAGGTCCTAAGAGGCCTCCCACTCCCCACTCCTGCCCCTGGGACCCTTGGCTCCATCTGAGCCTTTATTACTCTGTGGGGCAGCAGGGCTTGCCCTTGTGTTCTAGGTGAGAAACAGCCTGGAGAGGTGGCATGGCCACCTGATGGACCCCAGCTGGGAGGGGCAGAGGCAGCCAATGCTTCACCCCTCCCCAGGCTCTGGTCCCTGCAGTCTGGCCCTTGGAACATGATGTGCCCAGTTTACAGATGAAGAAACTAAGGCCCTCACTCTCTTAGATAAATACGCCGGGTCTGGGCTCTGACCAGATGGGATTTTTTTTTTCTCCTTTTCTCATACAGGTGCCAAGGAGAGGTCACATCAGCAGAAGAAACACAACAGTTTTGAGGATGAACTCTCAGAGGTCCTTGAGGACCAGAGTGACAAGACCGAGATGAAGGGTCATGTCGGCCACGTTGGCCACAGGCTGGGCGGGGATGGGGGTGGTGAGAACAGTCATGGTACTCATGATGGACCAAGGGTTCCTAGGAGCCGGGAGCACCTCCTTTAGGCCCTGTAAGGTGGATAGCACCTTCTTCCCTTTATAAACGAGGAAACTGAGGTCCGGAGAGGTTATGTACCTTGCCCAAGATTCCATGGCTGGTGAGCTGCAAAACTGGGGTTTGAGTCAGGGTCTGTCTCACCCCAAAACCTCTGATCGGTCCCATCTGCCCACCACTCTGGGGCAGGAAGTCTCTGACCTGGTAGGCAGGCAGCGCCAGCTCTGGGTCTACCCAGTGGCCACCACAGCAGAGCACTCCTGCCCCCCCATGCCTACCCTCCTAGGATTTCATGGTGCCTAAGAATAACACATGGGGTCACCATGAGTCGGAATTGACTCGACAGCAACAGGTTTGAGTTTTTGGTTTTAGAATAGCCACAGTGCAGGAGATTCCCAGAGGGCTAGGTTTGAAACACTAAATGAACCTGGATCATCTTTTCTGAAACCAAAGAGCTTTTTGGGGTCAAAGAGATCACGGGCTAGGGCACCGTGATGCTGTCATCCAGCCTCCCTGCCTGGAAACGACCATAAGCTGCCCCGCAGGGCCTGTCCTCTCACATGGAAGGGGGTGGGTGAGGCCGGTGTCCAGGAGCCCGGAGCTCAGTGGTCTCCTAACGGCTGTGGCTGAGGGGGAACGCAGGCGGGCATGGCCGAGGTGCCCCCCACTGACCAGCGCTGTTACTGACATGGCTGCTCGGGGGTACACTGTGGCTCTAAGGGCACACGTGTCCGGGTGGACGACGAGGCGTCCATGGGCTGTGGGAGAGGTGCAGCGTAGCTCGCGGATGTACCTGGAAGCTTTAATGGGGAGGCAGCCATGTGTGAACACCCTGCATCTGGCGTTCGGAGGCTGTGGTTTAAGGCTCAGCCCTGCTGCCTGCAGACTGCATGAGTATGACAGGCCACCTTGCCTTTCTGGGGCTCAGTTTGAGTTTCTGTAAAATGGGGCTGGGAGCATCTTTCCCCTGGAGTCGTGGTGACGCTCCAATGGTAGACTGTTCTTGGTAGTGCTTTGTTAAATGGGACTTTCATTAGTTAGAATGCTGTTTCCAGGGCAGCCCCAAGAAAATACTTTAAAAAAAATTGTCATAAAAAATACACATAATACAACATTTGCCAATTCAACAATATTTACACATACGATCCAGTGACACCAATTACATCAATCATGGGCAACCATCACTGGTGTCCGTTAAGAAAATACCTTTTAATGAAGCTCTGCAAATACTGGGGCTCTGAGCACTTTCACAGCATGCTGACGGCAGAGCAGCCCCGCCTGGAAGGGAGATGGGTGCAGAGTGAAGTTGCAGTGATGTGCCCTCCGACACAGAGAGCTGAAGGGACTTACCCAAGATCACTCAGCAATTCAGCAGATGACAGCATTTCCAGTTCAGGGCTCTCTGCTGGAGTCTGCTTTGAACACATTCTGTTTTAAGTGGGAGAATTACAAGAAAGAAACACAATCTAATTGTGCTGAGGTCGAGGCCGGCCTTGGAGGGGGTAACCCTAATTCTGGCATGGGTGTTTTGAGCTGCGCTTGGTGGGAAGTGAAGTTGCAATGACCAAGATCTGAAATTGGCCTCTGGGGAGACGCAGCTGCAGCCCTATCCCAGGGACTGACTTTGCTCTGTTGTTTCTGCAGAGGTGACGGGGGAGGCATCCTCCAAGGATGTGGAGAAAAGAGGGGATTCTGAAGAGGCAGAGGACCGTGATGAAGCCACAGAGGAAATCAGGCCCCAGGCCTCCCCGGTGCCCGGGCAGGGGTCCGAGGTGGAGAACAACCAGGTCCCTGAGGAGGAGGAGGCTGCAAACACCCACCCCACAGCCAGCCTCCCTGGCCAGAAACACCCCGGCCCACAAGCCGAGGAGGACACTGAGAGCCCCCCACAGGGTCTGGTGGACAGAGAGAAGGACCTGGGTGCAGGGCCAGGGCAGCAGGCAAAGAGCGAGGAGGAAAAGGAGGTGGAAGCGGAGGTGGAGGCTGGAGGGAACGCTGTCTCCGAGGAAGAAGGCCCCACTTTGGCTCTGAACCCCCACCTGAGCCTCAGCTACAAGGAGACCCGGAGGGGCGACAGTATGTATCATGGCTAAGCCCTCTAGTGTGTTGGGGAGAGGGGGGCAGGTGGCGGGAGGGACCTCATCCACGATCTCATCTCACCTTCACAACAGCCCTGAAAGGTAGGTATTATCTCCATTTTTCAGGTGGGAAATGGAGGCTCAGAGAGGTTAAGTAATTTGCCCCAAGTCACACAACTAATTTGTAGTAAAAGCTGAGATTCCATCCAACCCAGGTCTATGCGACTCCAAAACCATGCACTTCCCACTACTCCATGCAGCCCCAGATGGCACCCAGGGGGTGAGAGGGGCTCTGTAGGGTGGGTGGGTGGCCTTTGGGAACAAAGGGACAGCCTGGCAGGTGGGAGCAGGCTTCAACCAGGGTTTAGGAGAGACCCTGGCTCCTCATGAGGGCCTTGTCCCCTCTCCCCTTCCTGGTGACCCATGTGGGTCGGGGGCTTTGGGGTGAGGGAGCTAAAGGCAGAGGCAGGCTCCCGCCAGTGCGCCCCCGAACAATGATGCTCTGAGAGACGCTTGCAAAAGTTGGCGGAAGAGGGCCTTTCCTTCCCAGTGGGGTCCGCTGGGGAGAGGCCGGGCTGCCTCTGAGACCCTGGGGTCCGTGACCCCAGTGGTGGCCATGGCAGAGGACTTTGGGGAGTGGCATGGACTGGGGAAGGTGCCAGTCCCTCTCTTACTGTCCTGCTCTTGTCCACCCCCAGCTCCAGGTCAGTCTGAGGCCCTAGCTCTGGAGGGAGCTGGGAAGACTGGGGCTGAGGAGGCTCAGCACCCCCGACCCAAGGGGAAGGGAGAGCCGGAGTCGTCCTCCTCCTCCTCCGAGGAGATGGCGGGGGCCCCCGAAGGCCCCTTCCGGGGTGGGAAGAGCGGGGAGCTGGAGCAGGAGGAGGAGAGCCTCTCCAAGGAGTGGGAGGACACCAAGCGGTGGAGCAAGATGGACCAGCTGGCCAAGGAGCTGACGGCCGAGAAGCGGCTGGCAGGGGAGGACATGGAGGAGGACGACCCTGACCGCGCCATGAAGCTCTCCGTCCGGGCCCGGTCCTATGGCTTCGGGGGTCCTGGGCCGCAGCTGCGCCGAGGCTGGCAGCCGTCCTCCCGGGAGGACAGCGTCGAGGCGGAGCAGAAGAAGGAGGAGGAGGGCAGCGCCAACCGCAGACCAGAGGTTGGTGTGGGGCAGAATCGGCCGTAGGCCAGCCCCGGAGTGCAGCCCAGCTGGGGCAGCTGCACCCGGAACTGCACCTCCGTCCCACTGAGGGGCCACGGGCCCCTTGGAGTTCTGGCACTGGAGAGGTGCTCAGACCGGGGTGGTCTCGGGAGACTCCCCAGAGGTCCTAGGTTCGGGCCGAGCTCAGAAGGGCAGGAGAGAGGGAGCCGCCGGCAGGGAGCCAGAAGTAGGGAGTAGAAGCCAAGGCAGGAGACCCTCGCTCACCATGGGTACCCACAGAGTGGCTGGGAGACCAGATTCCACGTGTAGAAGAGAGAGCTGGAGAGGGGGTAAGTTGAGCCAACTCCCAGAGGCACCAGGGGTGGGCTTTGTCCTGAAGGAACGGGGAAGCTGAGCAGACTAGTGAGCAGGCGATGGGTGTGATGGGTGGAGCCTGGTGCGTGGGGTGGGGGAATCTGACAACAGACGGATCCGACAGGGACCAGTGATCCCAAGAGCTGGGCGGGCATGGGAGGTGTGCTAAGAGACAGCTCCTACCCTGGGAAGGCCTCGCAGTTGGCCGGGCCATGTCCTCTCCTGGCCCTGAGGCAGCCCAGGCATAGCCTTCTCCTGGGTTAGGCCCTGTGTCTTGGCCACGATGACCAAGGGGCCGGGACAGGGCCAGCCTGATGCTCAGGCTTGGAGGGGAGGGGGTGGGCAGGTGCAGACGTGCTCCTGGAAACCTGGATTGTGTCCTAGCTGTGTGACCCGGGGTGGGACACTGCCCTTCTCTGAGCCTCGTGGATTCCACCATTTGTGAAATGGGGGTAATGAGTCCCCCTGCTCACCTCGTGATCATGATTAGGGCACACGGACTTTGGAAACCTGGCCACACTGAGCGCCACGGGCAGCTCAACGGGGTGCAGGGACGCAGCTCCATAGGAGGATGGGGGTGGGAGCTGGGTTCCCTGGTAGGAGGCGACACCGCCCTGGAGCTCGAGGCAGGCTCGGGGGCACCTGTCCAAGCCTTGGTGCCCAGGTAGATCAGGCTCCTACGAGGGGTTGGCACCTGCACAGGCCCTGACTCACGATTCTCCTTCTGCCTGCCTTCTTCCAGCCCCTGGCCCTCTCTTCTGGGGTCTTGTTGTCAGCCTAACAGGAAGGAGGCTCCATCTTGGGAGCTGGCGCCGGGGAGGGCATCCCCAGATATCCCCTGGAGAGTGAGAAGGGGCTACAGGAAACAGCAGCTCAGCTCTCGCCCCCAGCTTTTGGGCCTAGAACAAGGCTGGGTGCCTTTGTGCACCCCCCGCCCCTCAGCAGCTGGACTGAGCTGCCCAGAGACGCCTGCCGGCTCCCCTTCCCCACAGCAGGAGTCCTGGGATGCAGGGTGGAGATGTGGGGGGCCCCAGAGTAGGTGCACAGAGTGGCGGTGGGGGGGTGGGGGTGGTGCTCTTCCACACAGCCCAAGGGTCTTCTTAGAAATGACCACGTCACAGATCTCACGCCTCCAGAGGCTGACCGAGGAGGGTTCGAGGCCCCCGATTTCCACGCAGCCATACTCAGTGTCTGGGCCTCGGGTGCGGCTCTAAGTGCTGCCCTTGGGCAGGGGTGCCCTTGCCAGCCTGGCATCCGGCAGGGGCCTCAGAAGACGAGTCCTCCCAGGCCAAGGCCGGGAGGCAGCCTCCCTGGGCCCCTGTGCCCAGTCGGAGGGTGTGCTTTTGTGGGAGTGAGTCCCAGCTCCGGGGCAGGGGCACTGGAAGCCTTCCGGGGCACAGAGCAGGCCCACAGAGGGGTCCCTACTTCCCTGAACCAGCCTGGCACCAGAGCTCAGGGCCCCCAGGATCGGGACAGAGGATCCTGGCCCAGGGCTGGTGGTAGAAGGGAAGCTCTCACACCACATAGCCTGCGTGATAGTCCCCATAGCTCCCACAGGTAGGCGAGGCCTGCAGAGAAAGATCCGGAAGCCCAGGCCTGGCCTCACCCTGGGAGCGATCATCCACAGCCTGGACTGGGCTTGGGGTAGGGGGGCTCTGAAGGGAGGGCCTGGCTTTCTCTGGGTCCTAAGAGAGAATGGACTCCCACCTGTCCGGGGTCACTTAGGGGGCAGCAGGGCCTGGATGAGAGGCCACCTGGGGCAGTGTGGGGTCCGGGATCCCTGCTTCACCACATCCTCACAGCAGCCCAGCAGGATGAGTCGACTGAGGCTCAGAGAGGCAAAACCACCTGTCTGAAGTCACACAGCTAATCAGCAGCCCAGCCAGTCTGGCCGATGCTGGTGCTCTCCCTGGGCCAGCCCCCACGTAACCCTGATATCCTCTCCTAGGACCAGGAACTGGAGAGCCTGTCGGCCATCGAGGCGGAGCTGGAGAAGGTGGCCCACCAGTTGCAGGCCTTGCGGCAGGGCTGAGACGCCAGCTGGCGGAGTGGCCAGGGCCCCGAGGCACCCTGTGGTCCTGGCTTTGCTGTCCCCTTTGCAGATCTTGGCCAGACAGCCCGGGCGCTACTTCCGCTACGGAGGCCAAGCCTCGGCCACCCCGTTGCCCCACTCTCCTCTTCCTCCCACTCTTGACCCCTGCCCCTCTGCAGCCCCCCCGCCCCGTGATGATTCTCTCTGGACACAGGCAGCTTTCTACAAGTTTCCCTTCTGTCATCAGATCCACCGAACACAACTGCAGTAACGCTGACCTTTTGATGAAAGCTGAGAACTCCTGACTGTAATAGGTTCTGTACAAAATTTATCTAAGAAAAAATAAATCTCTCTGGGCTCTTTCTGGTTTCTTTGAGCTTTTCCTGCTCAAACATAGCAACAATTTTGAGGATGGCACAGGACCGGGCAGTGTTTCGTTCTGTTGTACACAGGGTCGCTATGAGTCAGAACCAAGTCAACGGCAGCTAACAAAGCTGAATCAGCTTTTCCCCCTCCTGCCTCACAGTGGGCTGGGCTGGGCTAGGCTGGATGTGACCAAAAGGACAGGGATGGGTAGGTTCAGTACCCCAAGGGCGACTCTGGGCCACTTCCTAGCTGCAGGATCTCAGGCAAGTGACTCTGTACCTCTGTGCCTCAGTTTCCTCCATCTATAAAATGGGGACGCTGACACCTGTCTTACACGTAGTGTGTGGGGATTAAATAACACATGCGAAGCCCTTGGCCCAGGGCCCCCACTGCTCCTTGCTCTCCCCCAGGGCCCAGCTGAGCTCAGCTGGGCCATGCAGAAGCAGGGCTGGTTTAGGAAACACTTTCTGCTTTCTGGTGTTGGCTGGAAGCCCTGACTGCCCCAGGACAGTGCCTGTCACCAAGGCTGCAGCCACTGGACCAGCTTTGGGCTTCTGGATGAGGTCTCCGAGCTGCAGGCCCCTCTTAGCATGAATCCGCCATGACCTCTGACGTGCTTAGGACTTGGGGTCTGAACTTCTTGTACGCTTAATGGTTCACTAGAGCTCAGCAGATCTCAGTCTGCTTTTTGAGGAGGAGGACAACTGAGGCTCCAAAAGATGATGTGACTCATCAAAGTCACAGGCAGGGGTGAGGTTCACGAGGGTTAGCAATGGGGACTGCACAGCATCAAGCAATCAATGGACCAGGCTAGTGCGCTGTACTGCTGTGACCGTCAGGGCCAATCACTTGTCCTCCATCACACACTTATGAGAGGCACACAGAGATGTGTGTGGGACAGGACTTGGTCAAGAAGCCCACTGCCCAGTGCGGCGAGCTGGACCCTTCAACAGCCAAAGCAGCCCATGGGGACCGATGGTCAATTGACGGAGCACAGGCCCACACTCCAAGCCCAGCCTGTTGCAGCCTGGGCCTCTCTCCTCCCCCACCACCGCCAGCCACTTCCTCCAGCAGGTCAGGAGGTGGCGGTGGCTGAGCTCCAGCTTGGCTCTGCCGGACTGGCTGGCTGCCTTGCCATGCACCTCCCAGGTGGCAGCCTGGGGGCTAAGATACTTGGCCTGCACATCTCAAACAAGGGTAAGCAGGTGCGGGGCGTTCTTGTCTGCAGACCGTGGGATGTACAGGGAGCAGCCCCGGCGGGCGGCCAGAGCGGGCTGCACATCCGACACCTTCCTGCTGGGGACAGGGAAAGAATTGCATAGTGAGCAGGGGCCTGGGAGGTGGCCAGCACCGGTGCCAGGGCCATCACTGCCCCCTTCAGGGATCGGCCACATTGTCCAGAGTGTGGCTGGGATTTGGGAACCAAGTTCCCAAGGGTGCGGCTCAGCGTGGTGAGCCCGAGGAGGAAAGTTTCCGCAATGAGAAGGTGGGTTTTGAAATCAGGCTGGAGTCTGAGTCTCCAGGCCAGCCTTTAACTCGCTCGGGCAAGCATTCCTGGGCATCTTGAGCCTCAGTTCCCTAATCTATAAGACGTGGATAATACTTATCTCCGAGGGGCAGCCAGCACGGCCCAGGAAAACGCTTCCATGACAGCACCAGTCTCCTGGCTGAGGGCTCGTGGCAAGCCTGGGCCTTTTGGGAAGGCTGGGGGCACTGCCCACTGCGGGTGATGCCCTCTCCCCAAAGACAGAGGGACACCCTTAGGGGGCTGGCGGCAGAAGGCGTTTCTTTCTTTACACGTTGCACAGTTTTGCACTCTCCCCCCCCAGTAACAGAAAGAACAAATACAACACTGACTATCCCACTCGATGGTTAGAAATCAAAGTACTGCTACCAGACGAGTTAGCGTGGGACACCCTGTCCCTGAAATCGCCCAGAGATGGCCTGTCACAGTCACGTGGGGCCGACATGCAGCCAAATGAAGACAAGGCTTCTTGGTTTGTACAGAAGCCACTGATTCTATATATAGTATATGTATTCCTATATACCTGTATATATATATCTGTAAATATATATGTACACAAGTACGAACCAGCTGGGGATTCTGGTAGAAGTTGCTCGTGAACTGAGTTAAAGCAAGTTAACGCTTGTCACAAAGCCCAGGTGTGTCACCCTCTGAAGCCGGATCACTTGAGACACATTTGAGGGCAAGCTTCAGGAGAGACCCCGATGCCATACCGAACCCTGGCAGCAGCCACGGCTGTGCTGGTAAGAAAAAGAGGTCAGACAGTGGGAAGCGGAGGTCCCTCCAGGTCACGGAAAACTATGAAGGGAAACACAACATTTCTGGAAAAGGGCCCACTGGGCTGGGTGCGTCCTGCCAGCCAGAACCAGATGAAGAGGGCCCCAAACCCAGCTGCTTTGTGCTGACAGTCACCGGTCAGAGGCCCCCAGCTCTCCTCTGAGCAGGGAGGTGGGGGGTGCGACTCCACGACCATGCTGGTAGCGCTATGCAGAGAAGGGGCAGAAACACAGACCCTTGGGCATGTAGGACAGGCCTGCCTCCCAGGGACTGATGGGAGAGCCCACCTGTCTGGCAGCAGGGCAGAAATGTGAGGCATTAGAACCCAGAAGGCGGCCCAGAACCTCCATCCAGGAAAGATGCATTTCTGTCTCCTTTACAACAGGCACTAGTTAAAGGTCTCTGGTGTCTCCAGCGGCCCTTGGGAAGCTGTCAATGGGAAGGGAGAGGAGCTGTTGAGGGTCCCATTGGGTGAACGATTGGAGTTTCTGGGGGGACAGAAGAGAGGGCAAGTTCAAATCTAGGGACATCAGCGTAGGTATTCAATAGCTCTCTGTGGCCAGTGGCCACTTTGAATGTCTGAGGGTCAATGGCCAGTTTTCCAGGTTGGAAGGACAAAGAACATGCAGTCTCCCTTGATCCTGGAATGGCTGACCAGCAGACAAAGCCATCCAGCTGTTTCCCATTGGCTTGAAAACCTTGTGGCTTCCTACCTGAGTCCTTCAACCTCCTGTAAGGCCCACTCAGCAGTCCCCTGGGTGGAAAAAGAAATTCTTGAGGCTTTTTTCTCCTTCACTGATAGGATTAAAAATAGAGACAGGTCCCCTTAATGCACTCTCCAGAGAACCCCTGGGAGACTCCAGCTGGGTCCGATGCCTGCAAGTGATGCTGAGTGGCTTCTGGCCCAGCCCGAACCACCATGTGGTGCAAACCCACAACACCCTCAGGATGCCAAAGGCAAAGACCTACTGCAGGACAGACTCCCCTTGGTTCTCTTGGTGAGGACATCCAGCATCTGGCATGTACTTGGGGCTTAACGACTGTGGAGTCATGTCATTGTACAATCTAAGCATCCTCAAGCAGACCTTGACCCAAGGCTCCAGGGGTCAAGTTAGGAGACTACAAGTGACTCTGGAAACTACCCAAGACCTCGGCCAGTATGTCCTGCCTCTTGCCCCCGTGGCTCCCTCCACAGACCACCACCAAAGGCAAGTGTCACAGGACCACAGAGCAGCCAGGGGAGCAGCCTGATGGGCTGATCAACTCAGGAATGAGAGCCTCAACTGGCCTCACCCAATGCCGGCCAACTCTGGGGCCATACTCGTGCACCACCACACAACATCCTTTGCTCATACTGGGAGGCCCAGAAGGTTCCAGGGACTCTGGGGAAGAAAAGGCTGCAAGGCCAAGCTTCTTTCAGTGGTCTGTCTGTCCCTTCTGCAAGAACCCCAAGGCCAGGGATGATGAGACCTAACGGGAAACAAATTCTATGGATAGCGGCTTGGGACAAAAATGTCAGCATGCCCCCAGGTGACCTTTTGAGAACAGGGTTCTCTCCTCTTGGTCATGGGGTCCACTCAAGGGGCCGCTGGGGTGCCCATCAGCATCCATTCCCTCTCCCTGATGATGGTCCCTGACACAGAGTTTCTTAAGACCCCTTTAGAGACAGCTGCCAAGTCTGCCGGACAGCATCCACCAGCCCCAGGGAGAGGGCTGGGCAGGCGCCGGGAACGGGCTGTTGGCGCTGATGCCACCTGGAGCTCCAGGCCCCTGTGGAAGGCACAGGTCTTCTAAGGTCAACTCCACCCCCTTCGGTTTCCAGCACCGGAGAAAGCAATTACTGTGCTCTCGCCACCCGCATCGGTGGAAAGTGCCAAGTCACCGGAAAGCAGTTACTTGATATCCAAGCCCTGGGTGCTAACGTGTGTGACAACGGAGATAACACGATGCAGGAACAGCCTGGTGTTGGGCTCACATGGCGCACCCACCTGTTTCCAAGGGAGATGGGGACAGACATGATATTTCAAAAAGGGAAAGCTGTTTGTAAACCTTTCTTTGAAGACTGAATTACACAACAAACTGGAGAGACATTTTGTAAACAAGCGCAAAATGCAGTTTGATTTCAGTAGTTTATTTTGGAGACAAAGCAGTGCAAGAGGCTGGCCACGCTTCCCTGCTCCCAGGGCTCAGGGTGAGGTGACAACGCACAGACACGGAATTGGGTTCAACACTCAAGTCGTGTCACCACGGTTAGTCGGGCAGTTGTGACAGCTCCGCCCCCGACCCCAGCCCGCCTGCCCCAAAGATGAGTGCCCCCCACCCCCAGCCAGGCCTGAAGGTGCCTCCACGAGCCCTGCTCAGTGGCCTCTCAGGCCACCCTCCCGGACCCCACACAGGACAGCCCAAAGGCCTTTGTTCCTCTTTCAAAGTGAACCGACATCTTAGACACAAAACCACATTTGGGGGTCATATGCATCTCACCCCTTGATCCAAATCTCCAGGGCCCACTCAGTTCCACATTCAGCCCTGCTCCCGTGGAGGGGCTGACGGCTGAGCTGGATCCTAGGGGAGTCTAATGGGGGAATGTTTTATCATCTCTGGGGCTGCAGCTCCCTTGCCCCTGGCTGGCTTAGGGTTGGCCTTGCAAAACTGCTGGCAATGAGTACAGGAGGGACGGGGCTGCTGGGGTGAGGCGGGACCGGCAGGTGTGACCTCGGGCCACCGGAGCTGCACGTGGCTGGGTGTGAGCCATGAACTGTGTGGGCAGCTCCTGCTGCTGGGAAAAGCCGGGTCCCCATGCCTGCCCTCATCCTGGTCACCTTCATGGAGAAGCAAGCTGCACCTCGAGGTCTTACAACATGAAGCCAGCTGTTTAGAGTTCCCTTGGTCTCAATCACCCGTTACAGATGAGGAGACAGTGGCTCAAAGACTTGGAATGATTTGCCCAGAGTCACATGGCAGATCCTTGGCAGAGGCGGAATCAACTCAGGGTCCCAGCCAGGCAGCCTCCTTCCTGGGTTCTGGGGAGCGGTGAGTCAGGGTCAGGAGCCCCTAAGCAGGGCCACATGGGAGATGTGATGAGGGGCCTCCACCTGGCCTCAGGTACCTCAGGGAAGCTTGTGGCCAGAACCCTCGGCCACCTGGACCCCAGGGAGCTGGATGTGAAGCACGGCAGCCAACCTGAGGCCTTGGCCTCCTCCCGGGAAGCCTTCTTGTCCACTCCTTTCCTGAGGGGTTCCAGGCAGATGGAGAAGGAGCAGATCATGGCCCAGACACCCCACATGGGACCCCCATGAGAGAACAGCAGCTGCAGCCCTGAGGCTCCTGTGGGTCACGCTCCTTGGGAGGGGTCAGTGTCAGCCCGGTGGTGGGGCTGGAGGCCACACTCCTGACAAAGCTGCGGAGGAGGGTGTCAGGTCTGGGGTGGGGAGGCTTGAAGAGACAAGAAAAGAAGGGGAAACCGTTCACTCCCTCTGTGCTGCCACTGGCAGCCTGACCCCGGGAGGCCTCGCTCAAGGATCCTGAGGCCCAGTCCACAGCAGCCACTGAGATGTACAGACACGGGTGTGCACACTCACACACACACACTCACGTCCACACACACTCGCACACACACCCCCCCACATCCACGTGCACACATGCACTCACGCGCACACATACCTCCCACCTCACACTCAGGCCTAGTGTTGAAAACAGCGTGTGTAAACTCAGTAGAGAGATTTGCAGGGCAGGACTCCGGGGAACGTCCCTTTTCCGCGAGACTGGACCACGTGGCACTCTCTTCCACCTTCCCCTGCCCCTCACTTTGATCATGACATCAGAAAATCAGGTTAAAAATCGAGAAGAAGAATCAGATCATGGGCAATTCCTAGTAGTAGCGTCACCGTTGGAGCCGCGTGCCCGGCAGTGCTCCGCTCTCCGTGCTGCCTGTGGGTCCTGGGCTCCACGGCTACTGGGAGGAGGCCTTGGTGGCCAGGGAGGCCACGCAGTGCTGCTGGAAGCTTGGCGACACGGCAGCAGTGCAGCCGAGTCTCTGGTGCTGCAGCTTGGTGGCGCTGCCGGCGTCGGCCTCCGCCTTCCAGGGTGGGTCCTGTCCCATCATGCCGCCGCAGCAACCCGGGCTGGCGCTGCACGTCCGCTCCCCAGCGTGGCTGCCCACCTGCTCCGCCATGAGCCTGCTGTGCCTCAGTGGGGATGCGTCCCCTGCGTTCCCTGCGTCCGCACTCTGGGCCTGCAGGACGGTGGCGATGTGGTTCAGGAGGTCTGTGAAGAACTCGCTCACGCCCTCATAGCCTGCAGGGTGAGGAGCAACGCAGGGGTCGTTAGCCAGGGCAGCATACAGGCCGGGGGGAGAGCGGCTGCGGGCAGGTGGTGTGATCAGGAGAGGACGAAGAAGGGTCAACAACTGGGCCGGGGAACCCAGCTATGCTGGCTCATCCCATTTACAGAGGAAACCAACGCTCAGCAGACAAGACGGACTGAAGCTGTGAAGCCTGAGCTGATGGGAAAATACCCTGGGACCCTGCCCCTCCCAGGCCCAGCCTCAGTGGCTAACTGAACCACCTACTTGCTCACCCAGCGTGGCAAGATGTCACTATGCAGTGGACGTGGCACGGTTGGAGCTGGCAATGCCGAAGGCCCGCTCCTTGCGTTCTGAACAGCGAATTCTGCCTCGACACCATGGGACCTGGTTGGATGCCTGGCTGAGCTTCAGTTTCCCCACTTGTGAACCAAGAATACCACCTCTCAAGGTGGAGGGCTTTGGTGCACACCACTGGGAGGGGCTGGGACATGGGAGGTGCCTGCTAGACAGGATCCTGGTTTCCTCCTCACCCCCAAAACACCTGCAGGTGAGGCCTCGACCTGCCTGTGACACTCAAGGTCACGGGACATGCTGAGAAACTGCCCGTCACCAACAACAGGTCTGAGACTTGGCTGCACACCTGCCCTGCTGCCCTTAATAAAGCAGGACATGTGTTTCCAGAACTTAAGCAGCCGCAGCGAGCCTGGGGCAGCCGTTTCCCCCACAGAGGCAGTGTCAGCAGATGGGTCCCGGGGAGCTGCTGAGCAGGTTTGGGATCTAGGGCAAAGATTCTGCCGAATCCCAGACAATGGCTCCAAGACAGCCAGAAATCTGACGCGGTGGGGGCCTCCCACCTGCCTGTGCCAATGTGGGGGATGAGAGCCGGGCACACTGTGCATTGCCCGCCCGCCACAGCTGTGACCACTGCACACCCTCCAACAGCATTCACGGGCGTGCGACATGAGCCGGGCAGGACTGAAGGCTGGGAAATGGGTCCCTTTTACAGAAAAGCCTCCCGGAGGAGGCCGAGGGCCAGCCAGTGGGATCTGCTCATATGTCCCCACCTTGTTGTTCGACAAACAGCCGCTGGGGCTGTGATGAGCCCGAGGCGGAGAGGGGACGAACGGGTCACCCCGGCAAAAACGCATAGTGCTTCCGTGTGTCAGCACTGTGCAAACACGCCCCATTTCCTCGGTTCGTCCTCACAGCCACCTCTGTCCCCATTCCACAGATAAGCAAGTGGAGACACAGAGAGTTAAGCAACCTGCCCCAAAGAGAACCAGAGCCATTAACAGGTGATCCACGACTCTGGGCTATGGCTGTGAAGATGTGACGACATCCACAGCTGGTGCTACTTGGTGCTGGCTTCATACTGCTCACCTCACTGCATCCTCACAGCCCTGAGGGTGGGATTATCCACATTTTACAGAGGAGGACACCGAGGCTCAGAGAGGCCCAAAGTCACGAAGCTCATATGTGGTGGAGCTGGGACTTGAGCCAGGCCCTCTGGTGCTGTTGGCCTTGAAACTCCCCGTGGTGCTGGTGCCCCGACCCTAGATATGGAGGCTTCTTTCAACCCTGGGTCCTGCCTAAGTGGCCAGCGCCTGGAGAGTGGGTGGGGCCTGGGCCTGAGATCCCCAGGGCTTGCAGGGCCCCGCCCCTCAGTGGGCACCAATAGGCACAGAGGCTGGGTTTCCAGGGCAGAGATGCAAGCGGGGGAGGAGACTTGAGATTGGCGTCAGGTCAGCCAACTGCTCTGGCAACACCAGAGAATATTATGCTATTCCCTCAGCAACGGCTCTGCTGTCCCCAGTCAAGGCCCCGGGGCCCAGGGCGGGGTGTGTGCGCTCCCTGGGTGGGGTGGAGGCAGATGAGCAGGAAGCCAGGGAAGGCCCTTTAGGTCTAGGTCTGCCCAGCACTGCCGGGGGCCTAACAGGCCGGGCCCTAAGCCCACTCTCCCAGCTCGCTGGGGCCTGGGCTCCTCTGCCTCACCACAACCCAGGAGGTGGGTGCTGATGTTTCCATTGTACAGAAGGGAACACAGATGCTGCCAAGTTGTCAGACTACAAAGGCAGAACCAGATCTGTGAGGCAAGAAGCCTCATGGTCATGAGCGCAGGCACTGGGGCTGACAGTCTGGGCCCCAGTCCTGGCTCCACCACCTAGAAGCAGGTCACCTTGGACAAGTTACTCAACTTCTCCTTTCTCATCAGTAATGAAGGCAGCCACGGCTCCTCCCACGCAGGGTGGAGATGAAGTGCAGTCCGCGAAGCTCTCAGCGCAGGCCTGGTGCACAGCAGGCCAGACACAGGTACAGCTACGACTGATACTTCTTCCCAGAGCCTGCAGGCACCCACGCCCAAGCTCTCCTGCTCTAGGCAGCAGGGCCACCCAGGGCCAAATTCTCTGATTAGGTCCCCACGGTAGTCAACACCAAGGCTGGCAAACCCAGCTGGAGAGAGGCCTGGGAGCAGTGGCAGCCCTTGGGCCTCAGCACTCCTTCCATCACCTGGCAGCTGTCGCCTGGATATAGATCCTCCTTGCTGCCCTGGGCCTGGCCCCCAGCCTCCTGGGCCCTCCCCCAGATGCAGCTCCCTCACCAGTCTCTTGGGGTCAGCCTTGTCACCTCAGTGCCCTGCCCTACCTGGTCGGCCCTTCTCCTGGCTTCCCTGGCATAACCCTTGCCCACCCCGTCTCCGAGTGACAGCTCCTCTGCACCCCCAGGGCGGCCCCCTTGTGCCGTGGCCAGTCCCACACAGCTGTGTGCTCTGGGAGGGGCTGGCTCCATCAGCTCCTGCTCGCTCCGCCAGGCTCCACTGAGAGCTTCCCACTCTCAATGCCCAGCTCTCATCTCCTCCCTCCTCCTACAACTTTTACCCCAGCAATCTCCCGACACCCCCACATGCCCCTGGTTTAGACCCTGGGATTTCTGATGTGACCGCTCCCTCCCACATGCCCTCGATTCTCATCACACTTGCTTGTCAAAACCCTACTGTGGCTGAACCCATCTCTCCACGTAAGCCATGCCCGCATCCTGAGCGGCAGGCTGACCTTGTGCTCCTGGACACAAACCTCAGGGGCTGACTATGCCTAGTGGCCCCGCAGAGGCCCAGCACCCCCATTTCACTCATGGTAAAATCCAAAGTGCTGCCCTTGCCAGTGGCCCTAGCTCCCCTCTGGCCCTTTTTGTGCCACTCCCCGTACCGCTGCAGCCCGAGTCCTGCACCTTCCTTGACCTCTGCTAGGTGGCTCCTTCCCTTCTGAGGGCTGGGCCTCACAGAGGGGCCCCCTTTGCTCTTTGTCCCCCACCCCCTAACCAGGGCACGTACTCTGGGAGCAGGGCCTTGGCAGCCGCACTCCCGGCTGCACCCAGCAGCCAAAACAGTTCGGTCTTGCAGTAGGTCCTCTATAAATGCCAAAAGAATGAATAAAGGAGCCGGCGGCCTGCTCTGAGCCTCGGTTTCCTTGGCTGTGAACAGAGGACTTCTTGGAAGCGTGGTGGGGAAGCTTGCACTCAGCACCCAGCCCAGTGCCTGGTGTCCGTGGGCTGTGTGACCCGGCACTTATGCTTGGCACCCCGTGTGAAGGCTGAGCTGTCACCCGGCAAACTCGTCTGAGTGAGTCCCATGGGCAAAGCCCTGCCTCTCCCACGACAGTCCAACCTCAATGAGGGTGGAGTCACTCCCCAAATGTTCCCACACCCACTGAGCACTTAGCCAAGCAGTTTTACCTCCACAACAGGCACCAGACGAGCCAGAATCAAGGAAAGAATGAAGACATGTACTCACACACATACCCCCACACATATTCACACACCCGCTGGAGGGCTGGGGTGGGCTGTTTCGGGGCCACGTGAAATCAAAGCTGGACCTGCCTCTCGGCTGCTGTCTGACTGACTATGGGCAGCTCGCTCAGCCTCAGTGTCCTCATCTGTAAAATGGGGACAACCTTTGGGCCCACCTCTGGGGCTGGGACGATGCAGTGAGGGAGCAGTGAGAAGCCGGTACCCAGTGAGTATCAGCTGCGGATGTCATCACATTTTCACCACCTCGGCTAACAGTTCACGTGTGCTGGAGGCGGGGAGGAAGGCATGAGGGGAAGCCTGCCTTGAGGCCGAGAAGAAAGAACAACAGAAAAAAGCGCCTGGCAAAGGGCTCCTCTGAGGCTGGGCCACCCTGGACAAGCCACTCAACCTCTCTGAGTCTGTTTCCTCGTCTGCAAAATGAGGATAATACCACACCATGGAAGCCTACCCTGACTCCCAATCATGCAAAGTTGCCATAGAAACCAAACGACAGTAACCCCCTCAATAGTGCTATGTGCTCAGAAGGCCTGGACGTAGGGGCACAGGTCCTGAGGGGACGAGAGACGGGGCGATGCCACAGCGGTGACGTGTCCAGACCCTCCTGTCCCCGAGCCACGTGTGTCTTTGTTCCTAGAGAAAAAGTTTTCCAGGGAGCAGGGGTCAAAGTGAGCAGCTCCGCGCTGGGAAGCAAACGCCTGTGGAGCTGAAGTAGCAAGAGGAGGTGCAAAGCAGAGCTTCTCACCTGCAAACCCTGCGGCTATGGCACTGTTACATTCACGTCTCAAAAGGGCCAGAAACGGAAACAGAGCTATTAAAAAGCTATCTGTTAGATGCTCAGTACTGATGAAAAAACAAAACCAAAAAACAGGTGTTGGTCACTGGCAAGAGAGACACTCGGTCACAGACGTGAACAGTCACAGAGCTCCAGTCAGGGAAGTGCCATCTGGTCGGGCAGACACTCCGGGCACCCCAAGGTGAGGGGAAGACTGTGCTGTCTGAGGTCTAGGGCAGCTAGGGCAGGGGGCGTTGAGGCCTGGCTGAGGTGGGCTTGAGGAGCCTGGGCCTGTCACCTGCTGGGAGGCTGACCTGTGCTCTGGCTGAGGACACCCCCAGGGGGCCTGGGCTCCCAGATCGCGGGGAACCGCGCACCGACGGGGCTGATGCACCTCTGAGCTGTGTTTACTGTTGATTTTTGCCTGAGTCAGACTTTCCAGAGATGCAGAGCTTGTTTCCCAGATGTACCTGTGTCCCTCGAGCTAGTAGGAAGGGGAATATGAGCAAGAAGTAACATCCAGGACCTCCCAGGGCAAGTGTCTAATTCTCCAAGGAACGCGGACGTGTGCATGAGACTCCTCTGAGTCTGTGTGAGGTGTGTGTGAGTACATGTCTATGGGGAGTTTGCGTGTGTAAGGAGGCGTGTGTGGTGTGTGTGAGGTTTGCGTGTGTGTGTGGTACAGGTGTGTGTGTAGTATATGTGTATCCATGTGTGGCCTGTGTGTATACACAGCCTCTATCTGGCTCTCTGTGCGTATTATTCAACGTACCACACACATACTGAGCACCTACTGTGTGCCAGGTATTCCCCCAGGTAATGGACATAAACCATGGGCAAGAGACAAACGTCTGCCCTGGGTTGCTTACAATCTAATCAGGGAATATTAAAAAAGCAACAACAATAAACAAGTCAATATACCCACCAGGACGCTGTGTACATGTGTTCCCTGTACCCAGGGGTCATGTCTGTGTGCGCGCGTGGGTGTGCAGCCCCCCCCGTCACTCCCCGGGGTGCTCTCATGGAGCCCTCATGAAGCTGAGATCTGGGGGGACAGAGCATGATCCCCCGTCACTCCCTGGTGTGCTCTCATGGAGCTGAGATCTGGGGGGACAGAGCGTGACTCCCCCATCACTCCCCAGTGTGATCTCACGAAGCTGAGATCTGGGGGGACAGAGCGTGACCCCCCAACACTCCCCGGTGTGGTCTCATGGAGCTGAGATCTGGGGGGACAGAGCGTGACCCCCGTCACTCCGCAGTGTGCTCTCACGGAGCTGAGATCTGGGGTGCCAGAGTATGACCTCCTGTCACTCGCTGGTGTGCTCTCATGGAGCTGAGATGTGGGGGACACAGTGTGACTCCCATCATTCCCTGGTGTGCTGTCACGGAGTCCTCACGAAGCTGAGATCTGGGGGTACACAGCGTGACCCCCCCAACACTCACTCGTGTGCTCTCATGGAGCTGAGATCTGGGGGGACAGAGTCTGGCTTTGTGCCAGCAGGTTGAGGCACCCGGCGTGGTTCCTGACAGGAAGAGAGTGGGGAAGAGACACCACACATAGGGACCCGGCCTGGCTCTCAGCTCCCAGGCTCAGGAAACTCCCCCTCAGGCGGTTCACAGACCGCGGCGTGACCTTGGACAATCCCTTCCTCTCCAGGGGCCTCAGTTTCCCTATAGATGAACTGTGGGGCTTGTACTGTTTCCAAGGGCCTTTCAGCTCTTCAGATCTAAAAGGGCCCCAGGGTATGCTGAGGTTTCCGGCTAATGCTGATGGCGTGGGGCCAAGACAGGAAGGCAGAAGGACACGTGTGTACCGAGCAGCTACGTGCCAGGCGTTCCCTGTGCTGGGGATGCGACTCTCGTTCAGCCTTACCACACCTTGTCAACCCACTTCCCAGGTGGAGCTCAGCAGGGCTACCACGTGGGCCAGACCCCAGGATAGTGAGAGACAGAGCTGGCTTGTGAACGCAAAATGAGGTCAACCCCGTTCGCCTGCCCTGTCACCCAAGGACGCGTGTTTGTGGATTGCAGGCCCTTACCTGGGAAGGCGTTGATGTCGATGACAGCATGCTGCCCAGTCTGGTTGTTGATGATGATGTCAATCCCGAAGAGTGACACGCCCAGTGCCTGCCGCAGGGCCCGGGACAGCTCCCGGATGACCTCGTCACTCGGCCGCTCGAACACGCCCTCGATCTTGTCCAGCTGCCGGCACAAACACAGAGTCAGGCCCTGGGCGCAGGAGGGAGCTGCCTCGCTACCCACGGACCCGTTAGGGGCCACAGAGCCACGTATGACCGTCAGGCAAGGAGGTGGACGAGCCTGACCATGGCCAGGACGAGGACTGATGGCCACTTCCCATGTCCTGCTGAGGGCCGGGCAGGCACTAGGCACACAGATACACCGCCTCTCTTGTCTTCAGACACCTCGGGGGCAGGTATCTTTATCAGCATTTTAAAGACAGGAAATCTAAGGCTCAGAGAGGGTCAGTGGCTGGCTTAAGGTCACAAAGCTCAAAAGCCGAGGGCAGGACTTAGACCCAGGTTTTCAGCCTCTACAACCCAAATCTCCCAGGCAAGGAGGAAACCAAAAAACCCAAACCCATTGCCGTTGACTCATAGCGACCCTACAGGACAGAGTAGAACTGCCTGCCCCCTAGGGTTTCCAAGGAGCGCCTGGTGGATTCGAACTGCTGACCTTTTGGTTAGCAGCCATAGCTCTTAACCACTATGCAACCAGGGCAAGGAGGAAGGAGGTGGGAAATCTCCGTGGACCCAGGAGGACTCTGGTGCAGAAAGCATTTGAGCTGGACCTGTAAGTTGGGGAGGATTTGGGCAGGGGGAGGGAGAGGGAGAGGGGTCCCGGGCAAGGGCTCAGAGGCTGCCAAGGCGCAGAGGCCGGAAGCTGCAGGAAAGAGCTGTTGAGTGGCAGGAACCCAGCGATGGGCAGAGGTGGGCAGTGGAGGGTCTTCACCAGCATCATCACCCTCGCCTACCCTTGCTGCACGGCCGCAGTTGTGAGACGAGGGGTCCATGGCCCTGGGCTTCACTGAGAGCCTGGAGCTCGGGGCTGGGCAGGCCAGGCTCCCCCTTACAACAGGTAGCTGAGGACAGCGTTTCCAGACTAACTCACATCTGCACAACCCAGGTTTCCCCAAAGGGGCAACTCCACGGCTCCTGCTGGACTCCTGGGGTCCAAGTTCAGCTTTCAACGGTACTTCCCCGGGGCCAGTCAGGGCATCCAGGCCACAATTCTGCCACCCTGCCCTGGACTCCTCCCTCTCCACCCCCCACAGCCAGGGACAAACCCACATTTTCACATGCTCAGAGACTGGCCCCTGGACTGGGGAGGATTCCGGAGCCCAAGGGATCGGGATTCAAATCCTGATGGTGACTTTCTAGCTCTGTGACCTCAGGGAAAAGTACTTGGCCTCTGTGCCTGTTTCCGCATCTGTAAAACAGAGGCCTCCATCCTAGACCTGCTACCAGGAGCGGTGAGGTCACTGATGTGCTGGGAATGGCACAGTGCCTGGCTCGGAGGAGGTGCTGCCCCTGAGTTCTGGGCATTGGGTCACCTCTGGGCTCATCCAGAACAGGGCTCACACTTGGTGCTCAATGAATAATGGGCTCCTGGGGGGTTGTAGGCTCAGAAGCTGAAGAGGAAGTGGGGTGGCCGATCCACCAGAGATAAAAGTGAATGAAGCTGGGCCAAAAAGTGAAACACAGACTACCACATGGCCCAACAACTCTACCCCTGGGTACATACCCAAAAGAACAGAAAGCAGAGGCGCCAACAGAAGCCTGTACACCAGTGTTCACAGCAGGACTGTTCCCAACAGCCCAAAGATGGAAACAACCCAAATGGCCATCAGCAGATGAATGGACAAACAAAATGTGTATGACAGACTATTAGAATATGGCTCCGCCATGAAAAGGGATGAAGTATGGCTCAGCCATAAAAAGGGAGGAAGTACTGATACACGCTAGAAACAGGGATGAACCTCGGAAGCCTTGTGCTAAGTGAAAGAAGCCACATACAGGTCGTCTATGATCTGTTTATAGGAAATCTCCAGAATAGGCAAATCCATTGACAGGGGAAGCAGACTGGCGGTTGCCAGGGGCTGGGGGCAGGGGACAACGGGGACTGACTATGTAACGGGTCCAGAGTTTGACTCTGGGGTGATGAAAATGTTTTGAACCTAGAGAGGGTGATGGTTGCACAACACTGTAAATGTACTAAATGACACTGAATTGTTCACTTTAAAATGATTAATTTTAGGTTATGTGAACTTCAATTATTAAAAAAAACTGTGAAGCAGGGGCAGGCGGAGCCCTGGGAGCCAAGGACAAATAGCCCGTTCCCCAGCACAGGAAGCAGAAAGGGCCAAAGGGGCACTTCCCCAGCTGGGCCCCTGCCCTCCCGCCCACGGTCCCGCTACCGTGGCTGTAACCCCAGGGAGATGTTCTACAAGGGCAGGGGCCCTGCTGGGAGAGGCCCTCACCCTTAGCACTGCCAGGCACGGCTGCTGGCTCCTGGGTCCCGGTTCCCTCTTGCCAATGGAGATCAAAGGCTCCGCCCACTTGGGCTGGCTCAGCTGCTGGAGGTGGCCTTCCCGCGCTTGGTCCTGCAGCCTGGGAGTCAGAGACTCAGCGTCCACCTCGGCGCTGCCCAGTGTCTGCTGCGTGCCACCCTGGGCAGCTACTCATCCCTGTAGGGCTTTGTTTTCTCACCCGAACAAATGGGGTAATAAAAATACCTCCTCCAGGACTGTGTGAGGATCAAAGAGGCTGCTGAAGGCTGCAGCCCAGGGCCTGGCAGCAGGGGAGCCTTGTGACCTGCTGTTTATAAAAAGCACTTTCTCGGTTCAACTAAGGAACCTCAGAAATCCTCCTGAAGTCATTTGACGATATGAAACCAAATACACATCCCGCGACAGGGTGGAGGCCTGGAGTCCTGCCTGTGGCTCATATGCACAAGCCACGGTGAGCTTCTGCAAGGGGTAATGGGGGAACTGAGGGGGTGCCAGGCTCGTCACCTGTCACAGCAGACACTGCCATGCCCTGACTGTGCCAGCACCATCCTGGGTGCGTGTCATGCAGTGACTCGCTGAATCTCATGACCACCCTACGGGCCAGGGGAGGAAACTGAGGCTCAGAGGTGACATGGCTTGCCCAAGGTCACCGAGGTTGCGTGGCTGCTAGGTCATGGGGATGGGGTTTGACCCTGGCAGTCTTGCTCATGTCCTACACCGACTCTCAAAAAGCAAAACAGTGTTTGGGGTCTGGAGGTTGGGGTGGAGGCTGGGTCTGCCCTTGGGGGCTTCCAGGCCGGAGCAGGGCTCCCAGCACAGGCCTCCCAGGAGGTGGAGGTAGGGATGAGAGCCAAGCCACGCGGACACAGGTGGGGGCACACCTGCACCTGGGAATAGCTGTCTGGCGGGCCAGCTTTTCCATTTGGGCTGCAGGCCTTTGGGAGGGGCTCATGCCTGAAGGGGTTACATGCAGGCCAACTGCACTTCCCTCTCTACTGTGACATGTTGTCAGCCTGGGAGTTCCCGAGTCGCAGTCATGCTTGGAGGGGAAGGAGGAGCCAACTGCAAACCTCATATTGGAGGGAAGGACCCTGCAGTGTCACTAGGCTGACCTCTTCCCATTTTACAGATGAGGAAACCGAGGCTGAGAAGGGTGACTTCCAGGGGTGTTGGTTAGCTTAGCATCCTCACAGTGTACCTCGGGCATCAGTTAACGGCCCTAGGTGGCCACTAGCCCTGCGCTGTGTGGGGGGACTGACAGAGGCAGCTTCTCAGGGACCGGTAGGTCAGCCTGGGTGGCGCTAATTCCCTTCCACCCTCTCTGAGGGTCAGGCCACACTAGCCGAGCCAGGCTCTGGGAAGCCCTGTAGGGCACAAGCCCTGCTGACCTGGGCCGGCTGAAAGTTTCTGATGCTTAGAAGACCAGAAAGCCTTCCTTCGCATACAATACCTACTTAAGTCTTACAACGCACGCACAGCCAGGCGCTGTGAGGCCCTGTTTAAAATCCAGCTGCTCCCAGAGCTTCCTTGCCCATAGGACTTGTTTCTGAGCACATCTGTTCATATCTGGGGGAGACAGTGGAGTCCCCAGATCCCTATCCATGTGTGTGCTCTAACCCACAGCACACCGGCTTCTCAAAAGAGCCAGAAGCACAGAGGCAGGACATGGACAGACTACCTGGGCTCAGGGCAGGAGCGCAAGGGCAGAGAGGAGAGAGGCTGGGGAGGCAGGGCCCTGAGGTGGCTCTTGTTGGTGCGGCAAGCCCAAGGACAGTGAGGCAAACACAAAGCCTCCCCAGGTATGTGGGCCTGACGCGGTCTCGAGGAGTAAGGGACCAGTAGAGGCTCTGGGAATGGCACTGCTCACTGGGCTGGGGAGGGAAGGTTGAGGGGGCCTGGGGGGATTTCTAACTGCCTGCTTTCAGGAACTGCCAGCCAGGTTAGAAGTTCTGCAATTCCCGGAACAGCCAGCTTGGGAACCAGACAGCTCTGGGGTCAGGTCCCAGCTCTGTCACAGGGTGAGCAGCCATGTGACAAGGGGCTGAGCCTCTGGGTGTTAGCTTTCCTTCTGGGCGCTCGGGGCCGTTCGCCCTGCCCTGGCTGAGGCGGCCCGGGCATCTCGTACGAAGCCTGATGCACATCAATGCTCACGAAGCACCAGCGTGACTCTCCTAGCCATGGGCGGGGGGCGGGGGCGGCGCACACCCACCAGCCTCCGACCACCCAGCCCCTCACACAGGTGCGCAGCACGTTCTTCATGAAATGCTTGAGGGACGGAACAGTGACAAGAAAAGACCGAGGAGAGCAAGATGGTGTCCCCGCCCCCTTTTGTAAACCAGGAAAAGGGCAGATTAGAAAGTAGGTCTTCAAATGCCTCACGATCGCGAGGATTTCTTCACTTGGGGAGAACAGTCAAGAAATCTCCTACCAGAATATACTCATGGGGGGTGTTCCTCCCACCAGGACCACGAGCAGCTAGGACCTGCTAGCAAGAAAGGAGCGAGGGTCTTTGGAACCTCTGTGGCATCCTTCCACCCTGCCTTGGAGAGCTTGGTCCCAGGCCCCCCGCTGGCACGGCCCCCACCCAGGCCCCGGTGAGGGCAGCCCCACACCAGGCCCCCGCGGCGGGGTGGGACATACCGCAGTCAGGACTGATGAGGACTCTGGCTTCGACACGTTGTGGCTGTTGAAGAAGATGGACTCGCGGTCTGAAACAGGCAGAGAGGAGGCACCAGTCAGAACTGCTCCACCTCCGGACACCAGGGGGCGGTGGCGCCCTGTGGGCACGAGGCCTTGTGGCTGAGGGAGCCAGTCGGCTGCAGCCACCCCAAGGAGACGCCAACCCGTTTACACCAGGGACGGACTTGTGCCCAGTCAGGATCTCTGTTCTGCTCTTCCTTCCACATAACAATGACCTCTGCTACCGTTTTACCACTTTACAGTACCGTGCCTGGCTTCCCCAGCACCTAAGGCCCCATTCCCAAAGTGTGTCTTATGAAACATCAGCAGAAAGGGGGTGGGTGGGGAGGAGCACTAAGTGGAAACTGCTGCATACCTCAATACCCAAGGCCCAAGGAGTCCTAGGACAGAGAGGTCTGGTGAACGCCATTCAATCCAGCATGACCCACCTGACCCGTATCTGCCCATGGGGCTCTCTTTTGGGGTAGCCCTCAAGGAACACGCTATGGAGAAAAGTCAGGCTGCCACTTGGCATGGGAGCACTTCAAATACAAGGGGTTTTGTTGTTTGCCAACTATTTAGGGGAAAACAGGAAACCAAGGGATGGGCTTCAGCAGGACCCATCCAAGAAAGTGGATGAACACTTCTGTCGAGCATTGGAAGCTGTACTGCCCCCTGGGATGCCCTCCACCTCCCCGCCCACACTCCCCTGCTCCACATTCACCCTGGGCCCCACCACACCCTGGACCCCTCAGTCCCATAGTGGCTACCAGAGAGGGAACCCAATCCAAGAATAATGACAGTGACTTGTAATTAGTGTGCTCGTGCACCCCATCAAGATATGTCTGGGGGAATAAACAAGGGTCGTCTGACGGGAAGACAGTCGGGCAGTCGGACGGAAACACGCACTGGGAAGCGGGGGCCAAGAATGCAAGAATCACGAAATCACAGCTTCGGGGGCAGGAGTTATGGCCAAGGCTTCTAGTCTGTCACCTCCCCCAAGAGCGGCATAGACGATCCTGGGCAGAGAGCCCCCATGGCCCCGCAGCCTCTTTGAACCCCCAGGGTGAGTATGGTGCTCATTCCTGGGCAAGGACAGGAGGCACTGGCTGAGCGCCACTGTGTGCAGGAGCGGGGCTGGGGGTGCCAGCCCCCTCTGCCCACCGTCCCCACCAGCCCAAAGATTCTGTGGCACCGCGGCAATCATGCATCAGGAAATGATTCGGGCGGAGGCCAAGCAGGCGAGCACTCGATGTACCTGGCGTCCTTCCCGCTAGCGGTGCACACAGGCCCTTAGCCGCCCCGGTGTGCCTGACAGTCCTCCCGCCGCTCCGACCAGAGCCGGTCCTGACGGGGGGGCCAAGAGACGATCCTGGGGAGGAGCCTGGGGAAAATAAACACCCTGCAGGGCTTGCGCCAGGTCGCCCACCCGGGCTCTACCTCTGGGGGCCAACAAGAGTGAGCCTGTGGGGGTGGCCAACCCGCCCGGGCCAACGGCCGCAGCTGTTCTTGGAGGCTGGCGTGGGCATCCTGGCCTCCTGTGGGCATGCCTACCTTCCCGAACTGATGCCCAGAACAGCCAAGCCCCATCGAGCTCAGGGTGCCTTCCCACCCACATGCCCCCGGGGCCCCAGAGCCACGGCCAGAGGAGACAGGAGGCCATGGAGGGCAGGCAGACAGAGAAAAGTTCAGGGAGACTGGGTGCCTGCAGATGTCCACGGAAAACACCAGGGGTGCAGGGCACATGCCAGGAAGGGAAGAAGCTGGCACAGAGAGGCCTAAGAGATGCCCATGGGACAGGACAGACCACACCACCAACAGCTTTTCACGGTGAGTAGACCAGAAGTCTGGGCCCTTTCAAAGGGGACTGTTTCCTCCTCGTGGCTGTGACTGGGGGAGCTGTGGCCAGGGGACCATACAGCAGGGCAGCGTGAGATGCCTCTGTTCAGCTCCTCTCTGTGAGCAGCTTCCAGCCTCTCCCAGTGCCCCAAGGGATCTGGGAAGCTGAGGCCATCGGAAGGGTCAGAGCCCCTGGGAAAGGGCCCCGGCCAAAGCTTCCCTCAGCACAAACTTCCCGGACAACGCTGAGACACCTGGATCCCAGGGCACACACATGGACCCGGCCAGGCCCTTGTTCACACGAGCACCCCGGCTTTCAGAGGCCCTATTCAGTCACTGCCCCCCAGACTAGTCCTAAGACACACACAGCATGGATGGGGACCTGCCACCCCCTTCCTGGGAGGGAGGACAATGAGGAGTCTGTGGGTGAGCTTGTCCTCGTTTCACAGATGAGAAAAACAAGTTCCAAAGAAGAAGAGTCAATGGCAAGAGAAGCCCCACAGGATCCCAGCAACTCTGTGTGCAGATGGGAACTGTGGCCACTGTCTCCAACGTCCTTGGCCTCCTCTGCATGTCTCTGATGGGGTTTCCCTTTTTTTAGGGGTATGTGTGTCAGAGTCTTGCAGACGGTGGCCCAGGTCTTCTGCCAATTCCCAAATATCACCTGCTCCGAGAGGCCGTACCTGGTGCCCTTCTCAAGGGGCTCCCGCCCCACTGGTGTCCTGGGACCCATGCTGTCCTCTCTGGGGTCCCATATCTCAGGCCACAATTAGCCCTCTACTATCTGTCTTCTTGTTTGCAGTTTCTCACACTAGAACATAAGCTCACGAGGGCAGGAATCTCTGCTAACTATCTACCTTGTTCCCAGAACATGGTAGGTTCAGTAAATTCCGTTGAATCTAAGACACTCTAGGTTGTTGTTGGTGTGTGCTGTCTAATCGATTCTGACTCACAGCGACCCTACAGGACAAAGCAGAACTGCCCTGTAGGGTTTTTTAGGCTGTAATCTTTATGGGAGCAGATCGCCAGGTCTTTTCTCCTGTGGGTTTGAACTGCTGATCTTTTAGTTAGCAGCTGAGCACTTAACCATTGCACCACCAGGGGTCACTAAACTGCAGACCAAATATGGCCCGCCACCTGTTTTTGTAAATAAAGTTTTATTGGAACAAAGCCACGCCCACTCATTTATATATCACCTACAGCTGCCTTCTCCCTACAATAGCAGCACTGACTAGCCATGGGGGAGCTGAAAATATGTTCCATCTGGCCCTTTGCTCTACATTGTAAGCTCCCTTTATGTACCTCTAAGGCAAAAAAGGCCCAAGATAGGGAGTATAATAGAGGACCCCTGCATAAAGCTGGGTGCCCAGGGGGCTGTATCCTCAGAGTAAAGGCAAATGAGAAATAAACCCACCATACAGAAAGGAAGAGCAAGGAAAGCTGCTCATCTTAACCCTGGCACTGGGTGGAGAGAGGAAAAAGTCTCCCCCAGGAATCAACCACAGGCAGAGAATCTGGCATGTGCCTGGTGTCTGGTATGAAGAAATGTCAATCCTGTCCATAAGGCGTGACTTCAGTTCCAGCCAACAGCAAATGAGAGATGAAACTGGCAGTAAGGTACATGAGGGCAGTGGTGGTTCAGTGGTAGAATTCTTGCCTTCCATGTGAGAGACCTGGGTTCACTTCCTGGCCAGTGCACCTCATGCCCAGCCACCATGTGTCTGTCAGCGGAGGCTTGCATGTTGCTGGGATGCTAATGTGTTTCAGCAGAGCTTTTAGACTAAGAGATGGACTAAGAAGAAAGGCCTGGTAATCTACTTCTAAAAATCAGCCAGTAAAAACCCTACGGATCACAACTGTCCGATCTGGAATGAGTCACGGGGATGGAACAGGATCGGGCAACGCTTGGTTCTGTTGTGCATGAGGCTGCCGTAAGTCAGGGGTCCATTCAATGGCAGCTAACAACGTCAACAGCCACCACAGAAGTGCACCTTAGAATCAAAAGAAAACGGCAGTTTGCAATGAAGACTTGTGTCCTTGTCTTCATTGAGGTCCAAAAACCCCACCCAAGTAGCCACCACCTCTCTGCGTGGGACCTGCCACACAGGGCCACAGGAACCACAGAGCTGGGGGGCGGGGGCGGTGAGGCTAGTAGAGGCCAGGCCCCTCAAAGCTCTTCTCCATCGGTCCAGCTTGAAGGGCTGCTGTCCCACTGTGCTTGTCCCATTATGCAATGTCACACTGTGTCACGCAGTAGAGTACTCAGGCAAAAGGAACAAACCTCACGCCGGCTCCCTGACCTGGAGCCCTGAGGACAGTGGGCACAGAATCAGCTTTGGGGACGACCGGCAGATAAACACCCGGAGAGTTACTGAGTTTTCCCTGAACATGAGTAAACCTTTCTCCTTCACCTCTGTGTGTTCCACTACGTTGTCTGTTATGTATTTGTTCGGCCCTGGTCTGCATTTCATGGTAAACGGACACCTGGGGACAGCACGAGAGAAGACACCCAGAGGGATCCTCAAAGATGCAGGATCCAGCTCCCACTCTGCCTCTGCCGGCCCCGGGCCCAGACGGAAACTGGCCCAGCAGCTCGAAACCAGGAGGATAAAAGGGGGGAGAAGGATACTTGTTGGGTGGATAAGAAAAGAAATTCGGTGGTAAATTTCTTTCAGAGGTACAGTGATTTTGGTAAAAAAGAAAAAAAGAGAGACTGTGTAAGTCATAACTACTCTTAATACAGTTCCCATAGATTTAAAGCACGTAATTTAAAAAAAATTAGGAAAATAAAAAGTTTTTTTTTAAAGGTCAGCCTCCTCTTGGCCACTGTTTGTAAGAATGTCTCTTGCGCACTGTCATGGATTGAATTATGTCCCCCCAAAAATGTGTACATCAGTTTGGCTGGGCCATGATTCCCAGTATTGTGTGATTTTCTTGTATGTTGTAAATCCGGCCTCTATGATGTTAATGAGGGAGGATGGGCGGCAGTTGTGTTAGTAAGGCAGGACTCAATCTACAAGATTGGATTGTGTCCTGAGGCAATCTCTTGAGATATACAAGAGAGAAGTGAGCAGAGAGACGGGGGGACCTCATACAACCAAGAAAGCAGTGCCAGGAGCAGAGCGTGTCCTTTGGACCTGGGGTCCCTGCGTGGAGAAGCTCCTAGTCCGGGAGAACACTGATGAGAAGGCCAACAGAGAGAGAAAGCCTTCCCCTGGAGCTGACGCCCTGAATTTGGACTTTTAGCCTACTTTACTGTGAAGAAATAAATTTCTCTTTGTTAAAGCCATCCACTTGTGGCATTTCTGTTATAGCAGCACTAGATAACTAAGACACCCACGTTACTGTTGTCGTTAGGTGCTGCTGAGTCGTTTTTGACTTACAGTGACTCCATGTGACAGAGCAGAACTGCCCCATAGAGTTTTCTTGGCTGTAATCTTTATCGGAGCAGATTGCCAGGTCTTTCTCCTGTGGAGTCACTGGGTGGGTTCGAACCGCCAACCTTTTGGTTAGCAGCCAAGCACGTAAGCATCTGTGCCTTCTTGCTCACATACGGTCACAAAAAAAGACCCCTCCAAACATTTGTCCCCCTCCCTTGACCATTCCACCATCCCAGTGGGCAGGTGCTGAACCCTGAAAATCCAGCCTCATGCCTGGCTGGAAGCCTCCCACACTCAGATGGGAAGTGAAAACAAATGCACATTTCCACAGTAGCTGCTCTCTGCATTGTGTCACTGGAAAGAAAAATGTCATCTGCGGAAGAACAGCTGAGAAAGGAAGACGAGAACAGCTGAACTTCACTCTAGAAGAGTCGCTTTCAAAAGCTACAAGGTGTGGATGGTGGCAGGGAGTCCCAGAAGGAGGGGCTTTAAGCAGACGCATCTGTTTGCTGAGATGGAGCTACAGCAGCCTGGGTATCTCAAAGCTGCCAGGAAAGGCGTGTTTCCCCTCGAAGAGACAAATGTACAATGTGTCTGAACAAATCGTGCCAGGACGATCAAACGTCCTTCCAGGGAGTCCTCTTAGACAGCTACAATTATTCCAGAGACGCTGCCACTGTTTTAGAAGTTTCCAGAACTTCCTTAGGGATGCCTTCTGAACCCAAGAACATTCTTTTGAGCAGCCCCAATGCTGGCAAATCTTAATATTTGAGTCAGTTTTTGCAAGGGCCACGGGGCACCCGGTGCGGGCTTGGTGAATGAGGTGAACAGCCGGTATAGGAAAAGCTCGGGATGTGAAGGCCTTCGGCTGGATCTACTACCCGTGTGTGTGAGGGCCACCTAACATACTCCAAATGACGCAGCACCGTGCAAGGAACACCACTGTGTCACACCTGACGGACACTGAGTTACCACCCATTGATGAAAACCTGCTCACTGACAAGATCCTCAGTCTTGGGAGGGAGGCATAGCAGGGTGACAGTGCCCCCTTTACAAGGCTCTGAGGTCCCACAGTTAGGGAGTTCTGTGTCCCAGTGGCTGCTGACATCTAAAAGGGCAGATACTTCAGCAGCTGCAGAAGCAGCAAGTGACCTAGCTTCCATTTCCTCATTTGGAAAACAGAATGATGAGACACAAGAAAGCAGTCCTGTCCTGCTCAAAAAATGGGGGGTCCGTCCCTCCCTCCATTCCCTGAAGGGCTGATCGACAGGAGGTGACTACGCCCATTCCAGCATGCTTCTCCTGCAAGTCTCATTACTGCACAAGTGGCCCAGAAGTGTCTTCAGCACAGAAAACTTCCGGAAGCTTCCTGGAGTTACTGATGGCTCGGTGGATGGAGCCCCTGCAATCACCTGATGGACCAGGGATTTTTTACTCATTCTAAGACCTTTCTATCTACTGTACATATGCAATTTTTCAACCTTCCCCCCACCCCCCAGAAATAATACAGGGTGACAGGTGAAGGGCTGTAGAATAGACAGCTGAGGCCACGTCCCAGCTGTGCCCCAGGCCCAGGACAGCCCAAGACGGCGCAAGGCATGGTTACCTGACGTGCCCGCAGAGAAGTTCTTGAGAGAGGGCCTCTGCACCACGGTGTAGGACTCGCCGACCACAAACACCTTGTAGAGGACAGCATTGTGGCTGATGAAATTCTGGACCACACAGGGCGGCTGGATGGCATTTAGGCCCTCCTGGTTGAACACGATGGCCATCTGGGAAGACAGGGATCAAGGGATCCATCAGATTCCACCACCTCAGGTGTATGAGCACTCCAGAGCCCCACTACCAAGGCCCAAAGGAGTGTCCAGCAGGGTGAGCAGAGTGGGACTCAAGAACACCTGCAGGTCACTCATGCTGTGGGGTTTGGAAATCCTGCATCCATCAGGCCCGCCATGGAGGGTTGCACAGGCTGTGCACTGCACAACTCCAGGAGCATCATTCACACTGTAGTCTCAGGGAATGAGACCCCCTGGGTTGGGCACTACTGAGCCCTCATGACTACCTCGAAGCTCATGCACTAAGACCTGGGAGGGGAAGGCAGGAAGTAGCAGGCTCTGGATCAGAGGTCAAAGCCTGTGTAATGACAAGAGCTGCCCCTTGCTGAATGCTCACGATATGCCAGTCCCCATCCTAACCATTTTATGTGAGTTACCTGGTGTCACCCTTACAATGCACCTTTGAGATGGGCGCTATTATCATCCCCCTTTTACAGATGAGGAAACTGAGGCCCTGAGAAGAGATTTGCTGGAATGTGAGGAAGACTGGAATGGAACTCAGGTCTTCTCAGCACCAGGCCTTGCCCTCTTAACCCACCAAACCACACAGACTCTCAAGAAGCAGGACAAGGCCCTTGGAGGGCCCAGTGCAAGCTGTTCCCCGTTCCTAACTCCCTTGGGGGCAAAGGTCCCAACAGAAGGACTTGGAGGTGACTGAGGTAGGGAGGACAGAGGGGCTGCTAAGAAAAACTCTCCACCTTGGCCAAGGCTGGCTCTGCCCAGGGCCTGCTCTAAGGACAAAGGGACAGAGGGGTCAGCCCACAGCAACCTTGAGTCAGCTGTCAGTGCTGGGGTCACAGCTAATCCCTCAGCACACCGGGCCCCAGGAAGGAGCCACCAGATGCCCGCGGCTGGCTGAGCAGGGATAACAGGGCCTGGACAGCTGGCTGCCTGCACCGGCTGCCACCTCTACATCAGCTGTCACGGAGCACTGCCCCCTGTGTGCCTGGCACTCAGCTGGGTGGGGCAGAAGCAGAAATGCAGGCCTCACGGGAAAAAATAGAAAGTGCATGTGTGTGTGGTGGTGGTGGGGGTTCCCCAATGAAGGAAGGTCTCCTTAGCCTTCTGTCAAGAGAAAAAGAACTGCGCTTTGAGAACGGGAGAGTGTACAGAAGGCCGGAGTCAGACAAGGGTTCGAATCCCAGCTCCTGCACTAAGCTCAGGCAGGCGGCTTAAGCTTCATTTCCTCATCTGTAAAACAGCAATAACAACCAGCATGGGGTAGCCTCAGGGATGCTTGGAGGTTTTTGCTCAGTAGTTTTTTTTTAAAAAGAGAGATTCCATTGTTGGTCAAACTAGTTTGCTTGGAGCTGGCTTAAAAATAAAACAAAAACCCAAAAAGCTCTGTGAACATAAAATGGAAATGGAGTGGTTCTGGCAAACGAGGGCATCCAACTGGTTCCCAGTTTTCGTTAGTGGTTCTTCGTTCACTTATTCAACCAGTTCTAAGTCCCTGCCCTGGGCCGGGCCGGAGCTGGCCTAAGCTAGGGGCTGGGGATTCAAAGGTAGGGCTTGGGCAGGCTGGGATATGGGAGAGGACCCCAACCAGAAACGCCTGCTTTCCTGTCTAAAGTCAATCATGCAACACAGTGGTATCTTCCATCCTTCTGGGACGTCTGCAAGGGCTCAGGACAGCCTCCTGGTCTCTGAGGCTCTGCTCTTGACCTCCCCGGAGGGGAGGAGCCCCTCGGTGGAATAGCACACTTTCCTGGCTGCTGATCAGTAAAGCACCTCGGTGGGAGAGAGCGAGTGCACGATGCAGCCAGACTCCAGAGACGGACTGAGGGCTGACTGTAACCTCCTCTGAGGATGCTGATCACACATGTGAGGGGCAATGCCCCAGGCCAATCAACGGCCTCCTGAGGGTGGAGCTCATGCCCCACCCCCTTTGCAATTGCCCAGCATGCTCCAGAGCAACGGCTGCACACTAGCTTCACGGCCCCGGAATTTACTGAACATTTTCTGTGTGCCAAGGCCCATGGCAACAGTTCTGTAAGTAGTGACTCTTATCTTTCACACTAACTCACTATATCCCCAGTTACAGATGTAAGAAACTGAGGCCCAGAGAGGTTGGGTCACTTGCCCAAGGCACAGCGGCTAGTCTGGACCCAGGTCTGCGTGAGTCCAGAGCCCGAGGTCATAACCTCGTATGAACGATGGAAGCAGCTCCACTCTGCCCATGCTAACCTTTGATACAGGCTGGTCCCTGGATTCCATTATCACACAAATGCTTATGCTCATCCTTCCATCCTGAAAATTCCAAGAAACTGACACGGGGAGGGACTATTTGGTGGTAAAGGGGGGCAGGTGGGAGGCTAGCAGGTGGGTGCTGGGGCTGGCCAAGGGGCAGGGCTCCGTGAAGTTTTGGCTGAGCTGAGTCCGACTGCTCCCTCCCTGGGCTTGGCCAGAGAGTACATCCCTGAGGGCGCTGCCCCAGCAGAAAACTGGATGAGGGATCCCGACCTAGGAGACGGCTGACCTTAGCAGTGGATGACAGTTCAGACAGCTGCCCCCGCCTTCCTTCCCATGAGCATGGGCACACCCTCGGCTGCGCAGCCCCATCACAGCAGGCCCCAAACTGTACGACACTATCTGCTTACAGACATTGTCTATCAACGTTTGCCAGGAATTAAAAAAAAAAAAAACCAATACCATCAAGTCAAATCCGACTCCTAGCGACCCCACAGGACAGAGTGGAACTGCTGCATGGGGCTTTCAAGGCTGCAATCTTTGCAGAAGCAGACTACATCTTTCTCCTGCAGAGCAGCTGGCGCGTTAGCAGCCAAGTGCGTAACCACTGTGCCGCCAGGGATAAACGGCACCATGTAAATCTACAATAGGTCAATGCACTGGGGCCTTCTGTTTTTAGTCATCAGCTCCTGGGGAGCTTTTCTAAGGGTGGGGCTGCCCAGGGACAGGCTCCCCTGCAGGGCCCACTTGGTGAGCCGTGGGATGTTCAAACATCTGCTGCCCGAACCACATTCTGTCCACCAGGCTGACCAGCCTGGCCTCCAGGGCACCCTCACTTGGGCCTAATGAGGAGGCCCCAGGCTGGGCTGCACAGTGGGAGGGGGTATGAAGGAAACATCTCAGGGTGTGGTCCCTGGAGACCCAGTGGAGCCCCGCATGGCGCCTGCTCCCCTTGTCCCAACTTGCCTCATTTGCTCACCTCCCCCACACCACACCCTCTAGGGACTCCATCTCCCACTGGGCAGGCCCCACCTGCACAGGAATCCCATCTTCCGCTTCCTTTCCCTGGCACCCGAGGCAAGGCTGGGACCGTCGCCAAGTTAACGAAAGAATGAATGGATCGCTGGCTAAATCAACTCATGTCAGCAGGTGTGGTTCCCCTTCCCTTTCCTCTCTCCCCTGTTTAAACTCAGCAGGACTGAGACCCCTGTGCGCAGTGACGGTATCTTCTATGTTAACGGCCTGGCTTGGGTCCAGTGACTGCCACAAGGAAGGTGCTCAGTAAGTGATCGACAGCGTGAACCCAGAGAAAACCAAGAGCAGGTCAGATTGGGACGCGACTCTCATGGGCTCCAAAGGGGGCAGACGGGCCCCTGGCCCAACCATCCTGGCCTTGGGAATGGACAGGCACCGAAGTGAGGAGGGGGCCAGTGCACAGAGCACAGTGCTGCCTCTGCCCAGCTCCTGCGGAGCCCGGAGGAAGGAGGGAGACAGACAGGAGGCTGCCTACCAGGGAGCCGGGGGAAACAGCAGCAGGACAGCAGGTGGGGATGTGGACAGTGCTCCCGGGGAGATGCTATGAGCTGAAAGGAGGGGGCGGGGCAGGTGGCAGGTTTGGGGATGTGGGACTGGGGGAAGGGGATGCAAACTTCCACTCACCTCGTGAGAGTTGGTGCCATGAGCCACTCTAGTTTTGCAGACTACGGACGGGGGAGAGAAAAGCAGAGAGGAATTAGCGAGACCATCACAGCCCGGCCTGGCCGATACAGTGGAGACGTGGCGAGTCGAGGAAGCAGCTCTCAGAACTCCTGTGCCACACGGGGAGAGGGGCAGGTGGGAGGCCCTGGGACATGCTGGCTCTGCCTGACAATAGCAGGTACCTGCATTCAGGGTAACGTGGATAGACGCGGCCAGGCCAGGCAGGAAGAGCCCTCTGCCCACACCAGCGATGGGGACGGGTACAGTGGGCCCACGGGGATCCAGATAATGCTTTTTAGCAGCTGAGGTCTCCACACACCCTCGGGCAAGCTGAAAACCAGGGGGGCTGTGGGCAGCCCCAAGCCCCTCCCCAACTGGACCAGCTGAGCTCAGGGCCTCTGATCCCGCATGGGTCTTGTAGTCAGGAGAGGTGGGCAGCAGCTGGGCCCAGGCCAGCCTCGCTCTGGGTGTGGTACATACTGAATGGGAAAGCCAGGCCGTTCTTCTCCAGGAGCTGCATGGTGTCGTCCCCGCACAGGCTCGTGAGCTCCATGAAGGGCGGAGAGCAGATGCGGTCATCTAGGGGGACGAGAGTGGTCAGCATGCCCGGCCTGCCCCCAGCCCCACCACCCAGAGTCTAGGGGGAGAAGAGAACAGTCAGCACGCCCAGCCTACCCCCAGCGCCACCGCCGAGTCTAGGGGGGAGGAGGGAACAGTCAGCACACCCGGCTGCCCCCAGCCCCACCGCCCAGAGTCTAGGGGTAGAAGAGAACAGTCAGCACGCCTGACCTGCCCCCAGTGCCACTGCTGAGTCTGGGGGGAGGAGGGAACAGTCAGCACGCCCGGCCTGCCCCCAGCCCCACTGCCCAGAGTCTAGGGGGAGGAGAGTGGTCAGCACACCTGGCCTGCCCCCAGCCCCACTGCCCAGAGTCTAGGGGGAGGAGAGTGGTCAGCACACCTGGCCTGCCCCCAGCCCCACTGCCAGAGTCTAGGGGGAGGAGAGAACAGTCAGGATGTCTGGCCTGCCCCCAGCCCCACTGCCCAGAGTCTAGGCGGGGAAAGCGGTCAGCATGCCTTGCCTGCCCCCAGCCTGGCTGCCTGACAATTTAGATGCCCAGCAAGGACTGAACGCCTGACCTCGGGACTTGGGCCTTGTACACCAGGCCACCTGGAGTTGACCCCACGAGCCCAGAGCATAGCCATTAGGTCCTATAGCCAGATGGTCTGGGTCCAACTCCCAGCTCAGTCACTGACTAGGCATGTGACCTTGGGCAGGTTTGTAACTGTGCTGTTCCTGTCTCCTCATCCGCAAGATGGCAATAATCATGGTTCCCGTCTGGGGCTGTGGGTAAGGCGCTTGGTCAGCCTGACCTAGCACACGTGCGGTAACTCAGCTCCATCCGTCCCCACCCGGTCTCTCAGGCCTCCTGAGATGCCAATGGGTATCCAGGTTGCAGGTCAGGCTTTACATAAATGTGTGTGTATATGTATAAGATTACACACATTTATAAGATACTGAGGCTGTGTGCACGTATACATACATACACATACACAGCCTCAGAACATACATACAGTAAAACCTGTGAAAACTGGAACCTTGGAAGGCAGAAACCTGTTAGAGTAAGAAAGGTCAAACATTTTCCCCTAACAGAGAACAACAGAAAAGCAGTCAGACTGTACCCCGTCAAAGGCAGAAAACTTGTGAGACCTGGAAAAATAAGGCAGTCTCATCGAGTCTCGGCTCTCACAGGTTTTACCATATATATATATACACATACATATGTACGTATGTGCAGTACCCAACTTACAGTGTGTTTGAGTTATGATGAACCACACTTACGACCGTCCACTTTTTTAGTAAATCTTATCATTAGTGATATGCACTACAGTGTTACAGTGTGTGATTTGCTGACGTTATCATTCTTATGCCAACCTCCAAAGACAAATAACAATCAGATTTATAAAGATACTGATAATAAAAGGCAATAATAATACAAACTAAAAAAATATGAGATATTCAACTTCTGTCAGAACCAACTTAGGATGTGATCGTGGGAACGGAACCCGGTTGTAAGTTGGGGACTACTTGAAATATATACATATATATACACACACACACATATATATACATACATACATACATACTTTTTTTTTTAATAAAAGGAGACCGTTCATAATAATGAATTTTTAACTTAATGAACTATGCACATTTTTTTGGTTCAATGAGGACTTTTCCCACCATATGACATGTTGGCATAGCAAAAATCGCAGGAACGATGCTGCACATTTAGCTCTCGCCACATGTCCCGACTGTGCTAAGGGCTTTGCATACATCACCTCTGAATTCCTCAAACTAATCCTAGGAGCACGAAGCTGAGGCCAGGGAGATGAAAGAGCTTGCCCCTGGTCACACAGCGATTCTGCCACACGGACAGAACACCTGCCCTCGCCCACTCACTGCCTAACACGACACGTAAAAACATTTGTAGCTCCCGACCCATCTAATCAGTCACCACGTCTGTTGAGCCTTGCCTCCTAAATCCCTTCAAGCAGACTTGCTCCATGTCCCCACCCTCCTGCAGCTGGGCCCCAGGACTGCCTCCGTGCCAACACCTTCTCACCCCCTTGTCCCGGCTTTCCTCAGGAGCCGGTCTCAGAGGGGTGCCCGTCTCCTCCGGGAGCCCACCCAGCGGATTCTCTGAGAAGCTCTCGGAAGCCAAGTCTGCTCTGCTCATCATTAGGCTCCTGGTGCCAGGCTCTGAGGAAAGGCTAAAAGGATCATTTGTGGGCGCACAAAATGCGTTCTGAACCTCTCCGCTGCCATTAAATTACAAGCTGGTTAATATTACTTCTTGTCAGACTTGCCTTACCCATCAGCCCCTGAGCCCTTCAGGAGGTGGGGACCACCCTGTGCTTCTGGGCACAGGGGCCGGGGAAGGCAGACAGTTAGCGGGGGTGAGGGTGGCTTTCCTCCCAAAACCTTGGGAACCAAACCAAAAGTAAACAAGCACAGTGGCTTGTCCCCGAGAGCTTTTAACTACTTGGCTGGCTAGAAGTCAGTACATTAAACCAAGGCATGGTCCAGCCTCATTTATCTCATAAAAATAGATGCCAAGAATCATAAAGAGCAAAGTCCAAACAGGCGCGAGAATGTCGGCAGACTTCAGCAGAGCTTCTTTCGGGCCCTGGAAGGGTGGTCTGGAACCAGTGTTTGCTGAGCCCCTGCCAGCCAGGGTTGCAGGCCCTGTGCACACAAGTGCTCACTTAACTGTCCACAGTGCTCCAGCACCATCCCTGATTCAGAGGAGTCCACAGATCTAATGCAATCCCTATCAAAATCCCGGCTGTCTTTTTGAAGAAACTGTCAAGCTGATCCTAAGATTTATATTGAAATATAAGATATCTAGAATAGTTTAAAAAAAAAAAATCTAGAAAAGACCAAAGTTGGAGGACTCAGTCTCCAATTTCAAAACATACTACAAAGCTGCAGTAATCAAGACTGTCTGGCACTGGCATAAAGACAGACATATACAACGAAACAGAATTGAGAGTCCAGAGCTAAATCCACACATCTACGGTCAATTAACTTTCCACAAGCGTGCCAGAACAATTCCATGGGGAAAGAACAGTCTTTTCAACAAACGGTGCTGGGACAGCTGGGTATCCACATATAAAAGAATGAAATTGGACCCCTACCTCACACCATATATAAAAATTAATTCAAAATAGATTGGAAGACCTAAATGTAAGAGTTAAACTATAAAGCACTTAGAAGAAAACATACGTGTAAATCTTTGTGACCCTGGATTAGGCAACAGTCTCTTAGATATGACATTAAAAGCACAAATAACCAAAGAAAAAAATAGATAAATTGGACTTCATCAAAATTTAAAACTTTTGTGCTTCAAAGGACACTATCAAGAAGTGAAAAGACAATCCACAGAATGGGGGAAATATTTACAAATCATTTATCTTATATCCAGAATATATAAAGAACTATTAACAATCCAACAATAAAGACTAATAACCCAATTTAAAAATGGGCAAATGATTTGAATAGATAGTTCTCCAAATAAAATATACAAATGGCCAGTAAACACATGAGAAGATGCTCAATATCATTAGCCACCAGGGAAGTGCAAATCAAAACCACAATGGATACCACTAGGATGGCTATTAAGGAAAAAAAAGAAAATAACAAGTGTTGACAAGACAAGGATATGGAGAAACTGAAGTCTTCATGCATTGCTGGTGGGACTGTAAAACAGTGCAGCTGCTTTAGAAAACAGCCTGGCAGTTCCACAAAAAGCTAAATAGAGTTTACCATATAAGCTATCAATTCCACTCCTAGGTATATACACACAAGAGAATTGAAAACATATGGCCACACAAAGATGTGTCTACAAAGATGAGGGAAATGAATGAGTGGACCATGTGTGCATCTGGGGGAACAGCCTGTGCCAAGATCCAGCATGCTGCTGTTTGGATCTATAAACTGGACCCACCCTATGAGAAGGGAAGATGATCACCAGTCCAGATTGTGGACAGAAAGGTCATCTAGCTGGTGGGAGGGCCGGAGAGGGAACCAGGTCCTGCAGCATCAGGGCTAGTGCCTTGGCTGCCTTCACTGTATGGTTGTCCTGCATGGTCCCAGGTGCATTCTCCTGCCTCCCCTTCCAACCTCAGCAGACACGCTGGCCCTGCCCCTGGGGAGGTACAGTAAAGGTCCCTCCAGCTCAACTATGGGAAACTCGTCTGCCATCGCCAGCAGCTCTTTTCCCCAAATACAGCCAGGATAAAGGCTCTTTCTGTAAGTTAGCACTGGGAGCCGGGCAGCTATTTCTGGTTCCCTGATAAAGGCTACCATTGCTTAATTTATTGTCTTTATTTCTGGATGGGAGTTGGAAAGAGGCTTTTTTTGGTTAGATGGTGGCTCACGTTCTTTTAAGAACTGCAAGATCAGCTCCTGGGAAACCGGAAAGCTCCCGTCTTTCCTCTCTGTCTCCCCCATCAGAGAACGTGAAGCTGGAAGGTCCTTGGAGACAGGTGAATCCCAGCCACAGGGTTCCACAGCCAGAGAGGGGAAGAGTTCAAGGCCACACATAAGCTACAGGTGGGGCCAGGACGAAACCCTAGGCATCCTGAGCCACACATCACTGCCCTGTGCACTCTGCTGGGTAGCCTTGCTCTCTACCAGGTGGCAACTGCTAAGAACTGGCAAGAAAACCAAAGGACCAATGACAAAAGGCAGATGTAAGAGACAACTGGGGTGGGGAAAGAAGAGGAGAAGGAAACACTGGGATCAGCATGCCAGGGGGCAGCTTTGGAGCCTGACTTTGAACCTGGGGTGAACCAGAAGAACTGGATGGTGCCTGGCTACCATTACTGAACATTTTGATCAAAGACTCTATAGAAGAATCCTGATCAAAAGGGGGGGAAAATGCAGAACAGAATTTCAAATGCTCATGGAATCCAGACTTTCTGGAGCCACTGACACCAGATAAACCCCTGAAACTACTGCCTTAAGATAATCTTTAAACCTTAAACCAAAAATCTCCTGAGGTCTTCTTAAAACCAAA